GCGTGATTAAATTTGTCCATCAGTGTATTTTCAGCTTGGTCCTTGAACAAATATATTATAAAATAGACAGTTCCGGTACAACGTGTTGTTCTTCAGTTTGATTTCAAATAACGAATGGTGATATTATTTGGACAGTTTGGAAAGGGAAAGCGTAGATGAGGTGATGAAGAATCAGTATCATCGATTAGTGACCGTTAGTCGATGATTATTCAGGAATCGTGAGATGCGGTCTGGTGTGATGTACGTTTCAGAAAAACATTTTCTTTATCGTGGCACGTTCGATTCTTATTGAGATCATCTTCAGAGCTTGGGATTTACAAACATTGTTTAAATTTAACAAAAACATGTAGGATGTGGGTAAAACTGGATGCAGAAAACAAACACTTTGAGTGAGTAAAAATACTGTGATTGAATATAAAAAAATATTTTTTTGCATTGTGTAAATTCACTTTTTTCCACATCCTACATGTTTTTGTTAAATTTAAACCATTTTGTAAATCCCAGACCCTGAAGATCTCAATAAAGATCGAAACGTTGGCACGATAAATAAAATGTTTTTCTGAAATCTACATCACACCAGACCACATCTCACGATTCCTGAATAATCAATAGAGTGAGAGATGCTGAGCGTGAATCTGATAAGAATGGATAATAATCTTTCTTCTGTTTAATGGAGAAACATTGTATTATTTTGTTTTGATCTATAATAATATGATGTAAAAAAGACCGTAAGAATGTGTTTGCGGCTGAAGAGCCGTACGATTGTCAAATGGACCGTGTCTCCTTTGAGCCTGGGGTCAGAGGTCGTCTTACTTGGGTAAAAAGACGATAAATTTCTAACAGGCTGTGAATCGGAAACGGGATCAGGGTTGTTTCTTTCTTTTTTGTCGATGCCTCGCCGAAGTGAGCAAACTGGATAAGACGGACGAGCTTCCTCTTCTCGATTACACGCTCCACCGCCTCCGCCCCCCCGAGTTAATCAGAGACATGTGTTCTGCTGCCTTCGGACACTCGATAATCCCCGCTCACAGATTGACTTGTCAAGCTCGCCCCATTCCCGTCGTTTGTCGGCAGACGTCACCCAGAACAGTAAGCTTTCATTGTTTTTATCGATTCTTTCCACTGACGTATCTTGACTGTGCTATATTTTTAACAGACAGCCCGTGCACGAGAATGTGTAACCGACTGCGAAATTTAACAGGGGTCTGAGCCAGGAATACCAACTAGTTTACAATATCTGATTTACCAATATTTTATCGACGGATTATCGTACAGAAAAAAATTGAGTGTCGTTTGCCATGGATAGATGGCTTCCGAGTGCCTATAGGTATATTTGCTTTTACTGTCATATATTTCCAATAGTTTTGTATGTAGAACCTACAAAGTTCTACATTTTCGTAAGTAAAAGGCTTGTATTTTTATACTTTATTTTTTTTAAAGAATTTAGCTGACTTTTTTTAGTTCATTTAAAAAAAATAATTTAATAATCCATTACAGTTCATGGTCCGATTGACCAATTAACATTTTTCAATTAATTAATACTTATGAAAGGTATTGGTTGAGATAAAAAAGACAGCGTCACGAGCGGGATTCGAACCCATGACCTTCGGCTAAATATGCCGCTGCTCTACCACTTGAGCTATTGTGATTTCGATCCGCTCGGAAGCAAACTTCCCATCTCAACCACACCTCTCAAATTTTCCCACCTTTTTGCCATATTTCAAATGTCGTGTAATCGGATTGGATTCTCGACGACAAATGAAAGCCACGGAGAGCTTTAGTGAAGTATACTTAATTTTAAATCATTAAATTCACTAATTTCGTGGTCCGCTTGATCAATTGATATATAACAATTAATTAAGGTTTTTAGTTGAGATAAAAAAAAAGTCAATGGCACGAGCGGGATTCACGAAATTAGTGAATTTAATGATTTAAAATGAAGTATACTTCTCTAAAGCTCTCCGTGGCCATTTCATTTGTCGCCGAGAATCCAATTCGATTCATTTGAAAAATGGCAAAAAGGAGGGAAAATTCAAAAGGTGGGGTTGAGATGGGAAGTTAGTGTCCGAGTGGATAAAATTATAGATTTACTCCGGACTTACAATTTTAAGCCGTATCGCTCTCATCTTGTCCAGGAACTTCGGTACTCTGATTATGACAGGCTTCTTACGGAAAATTCCTAAACGGTTGGAATTTTCAAACGTGGGCAAAGGAAAATCCGAGAATTTCGTACTCTCATCATAATAATTGCTGCCGGTTTCTTGGTGATGGGACGGCAACTGCTCCGTATCTCCTCGTATTACGAGCAACACGAATAAACGTTTTTTTTTTGTTTACTCTGGGGTGATCAGGAAATTTCTGGGAGTACAACTGGACTCCACGACCACCACTATCAATGAAGCAGTCGTACATATCAACTAGCTGTTGATGAGAAATCGATTCTTCGGTTCATTTTGATTGGAATACTGAATGTAACAAATGGGCACTGTTATAAAAAAATTTTACTTCCAGGAATTAAGATTTCCTCTCACAATGCCAGTTGGACAAACAATGACAGAATGTAAACAATAAAGGCAATTAACGTTTACTTTAGTGAAGAAGTAAATTATTCGAATTAATTAAGGAAACAAACGAAATGCGTTCTTTCAAACTTTCTGCCATAACTTTGTCATTTTTCGACCAATTTAAAATGCAATGCACCATTGTTTTCAGCGTAAAAAAATCCTTTAAAATGATGCGTCAGTATGTATAGGGTCATATTTTACATGTTGAAGTTGAGATGGGCTTGAGGTACCCTGAATATTATTTCAACAAAAAAAGGTAGTCTAAACTAAAAAATATTAAGCACTTGTTTTAACACCCTGCATATATTGTATATTTATTTACATATTTAAACAATATTGTTAATCTATTATTTTTTTAATTTTATATATGTTTTATGTTATGAAAAATGGGTAAATTGGATTAATTCGGAAAATATTATATTATTTAAAAAAAAATACTTCTGATGTAAAAAATTCATATTATTGAAATTTTATTTTATGTTTTGTATATTATTAAAAATAGGTAAATTTGATTAATTCCGAAAACATTATATTATTTTTTTTTTAAATTACTTCTGATGTAAAAAAGTCATATTATTTTTATTTTTTATGTTTTGTATATTATTGAAAATGGGTAAATTTGATTAATTCCGAAAACATATTATTTTTTTTTTATTGTAAAAAATTCATATTATTTTTATTTTATATATGTTTTGCATATTATTAAAAATGGGTAAATTTGATTAATTCCGAAAACATATTTTTTTTTTTATTGTAAAAAATTCATATTATTTTTATTTAATATATGTTTTGCATATTATTAAAAATGGGTAAATTTGATTAATTCCGAAAACATATTTTTTTGAAAAATTACTTCTGATGTAAAAAATTCATATTACTTTTATTTTATGTTTTGTATATTATTAAAAATGGGTAAATTTGATTAATTCGGAAAATATTATATTATTTTAAAAAAACTTCTTATGTAAAAAATTCATATTATTGTAATTTTATTTTATGTTTTGTATATTATTAAAAATAGGTAAATTTGATTAATTCCGAAAACATTTTTTTTTTAAATTACTTCTGAAGTAAAAAATTCATATTATTTTTATTTTTTGTTTTGTATATTATTGAAAATGGGTAAATTTGATTTTTTTTTAATTACTTCTGAAGTAAAAAATTCATATTATTTTTATTTTTATTTTGTTTTTATATTATTAAAAATGGTAAATTTGATTAATTCCGAAAACATTATTTTTTTTTAATTGTAAAAAATTCATATTATTTTTATTTTATATATGTTTTGCATATTATTAAAAATGGGTAAATTTGATTAATTCCGAAAACATATTATTTGTTTGAAAAATTACTTCTGATATAAAAAATTCATATTACTTTTATTTTATGTTTTGTATATTATTAAAAATGGGTAAATTTGATTAATTCGGAAAATATTATTTTTTTTTTAATTACTTCTGATATACAAAATGCATATTATTTTTATTTTGTTTTGTATATTATTGAAAATGGGTAAATTTGATTAATTCCGAAAACATATTATTTTTTTTAAATTACTTCTGATATAAAAAATTCATATTATTTTTATTTTTATTTTATATATGTTTTGTATATTATTAAAAATGGGTAAATTTGATTAATTCCGAAAACATTATTTTTTAAAACTTCTGATGTAAAAAATCCATAGCGGTTTGTCTTATCTAGACTACCCTTCCGTCTTTATTCCCATTAAACGGTTAGTGGAATAACAGTAAATGCGGTAGGATTTTATTCCGTTGTGTCAAAGTAGGTCCATGAGGATTGAGGAGTGAGGAGGCAGGAGGCAGGCCAGGCAGCATGTGCAGGTGGCAGATGCCGTTTCCAGCATTCATCGCAAAGGGGGGAGTCGGCCGCAGTGTCCGAGGGAAACAGCCCGAGACGACCGCACAGCAATCAGATAATAGACTCGTCGGCTGACCGCCACCGGCCACAATCTGCCCCCGGCACGCCCTCGCCCTCGTCACGGCCGTTTGCCAATTTACGACTCGGATTCGACCGTTTCCTCCTCTCGGATCCCATCCCCCTTCCATAAATCACTCCCGTCGGTTTTCACTCATTCCGATTGCCTGCGTATAACTCACTCGTCCGATTTCGATTGATAAGACCCGACTACGCTTTGAAACCTAAAAAGCGACTGGAATAAGACTCGATCTGTGCAAGATCGCATTCCGAGCCTTTTTTGATGGATGGGGTCCTAGTGGTGATGATTCATTGGAGTGCCGTCAAAGCTGGCGTGAAAAAACGAGACCACACACCTGTTTGTGGGTGCAGGAAATACTGCGTATTTCTACACTCGAGTAGCCAAAGGAACATATCACACATCGTTCGTTACATGGTTCCATTTCTAACTGTCCAAATATCAAAATTAGAGTAAATCTATACGACTGGCGTACTCACATAAAACTCCGTTACAAGCATAGCCGCCTCCAAGTATAACAGTTCATCATCAAACCCTGCTCCTGGACGCAAAACGCCCACATCGCCGAACTTCGCAACAGGTGAAGGTTTCTTCAAGGTCACCTTTTTCATTAACTACTGCAATGATCTGGATTGTCTTTGAGGATTTTATATTATTATTTTTAACAACAAAAAATATAATTTTAATCTATTTGACTTTTTGAAAAATTAAATTTTTAATAAAGTCTTTAAAACAAATATCAATTTTTTATATAAATAACAAAACAGTATTCATTAAATTGTTTTATGTAGATTTTTAGATATGTAGATGTAGATTTTATGTAGAAACTTACATCCGTCCAACTTGGCTGTAAGGGCTCAAACTTCAAAATAAGTTAAAACGTACCAAGTTATAAACGGACTGACATGGTGCATCAGAAATTCCCACTACACCTAGATCTACAACTAGTAGTTGAAGCACGACAAAATCATCTGTACTCCATTATAAACCACTTACCAACTGATGTACTCCTACAGCATCAAGGTCTTTCTTGAGGTCTCTAAGGTGTCTACAGAAAAAGCTGACTGGCTTCCAGCAAAATATGTGTATTTGACTTTTTGACTCCATTCAAACAAAATACTAAGCTAAGCTGATTCTATCACAAGATTGCAACGAATATGAGACTTTGTTAAACTGTGTTCACTTTCAATTATATGAAATTTATCAATTTCAATTAAGAATTCTTTTACCCGACATTCAAAGGGCCGAAATAACCTAAACCTAAATAAATGATCTCACAAAAATAGCATAGGCTTTATTCTTGTGCAATATTAATTTAATTATATGCGTGTTTTTGTGTGCCGATTTCCACATTTGTTAATTTGAAGCCGTTGATAATGGCAAGTTAGGTATTGCACCATATTTGCAACAACTTCCAACATATCGTTGACACCATGTTAAAGTGACGAATGTGAAAAGTGGAGAAATCCATATTCGTCACTTTAACATGGTGTCAACGATATAGTCCATGTACCTATCTTCAATTCCTGATGAGTTACAATTTTTTATTTTTTCCAAAGAAATTACCTAACCAGAGAAAAACTACTAATTTTATCTTACATAAGTTTCAGTTAAGAACCTTAATAAATGCTCAAATTTGAAAAATAAACAGTGGTTTTTTGTAGGATTAGGAATGCCCTTTTGCTTAATCATAGATATTGTCAAACTTCACGAAAAGTTCATGTTTAATAAGCTTTCAAACGATAAAGAATATCCATAATCCCTTCTGATTGTAGTTGATTTACTGTGTATCAATTGTTGCAAAGTATACATGAGATAAATAATCTCGGCTCAGGTGGGAATTGAAAACACAGGCATTGTATTCTGGCTCAACACTTCCCACTTTGATCTTGTTCTAATGGTAGGTTGAAATGAAAAATTATATATTGTTTCATCAGTTGCACCTTCATGGCTCAAACTCTTTTCACGAGTATGCAGATATTTTTTATATTTTGTGTACGAGCTTTGTAACGGGAATGTCCTATCAGCAATACTAGTGTCTTTTCCAGACCGAAATGTTCCTCATACCTATTTCCCAGGACCTATCAGCGCTTTGACGAAACAGGTAAATGTATCAGTTAACACAAACTGGATGGGTTATTTATTAAGGTTCTTAACTGAAAATTATCTCAGATGAAAGTAGAAGTGTTTTCCTATGGCAAGGTAAAGTTTTCATGGAAAAACTTAACAAAAATTCGTAACTCGTCAGGACTGCACCCCATAAAAGGAAAAAAAAAAAAAAGATAATCAAGCATTATCTGTCTGGCCAGTCTGGCCAATAAAAAAATATACACACCACAGTTCTAATTTAAGATTTCATGCATGAATAAATTCCATTTTATCATTATCATTCACTATTATCAACCTTAGATTGTCTCAAGATCAATCTGTTACTAATTATTTAAAAATAGGTTCAAAAAATGGATCAACACAAGCAAATGGTTCTGTTATCGAACTTTCAGTTAGTTATCTTCTTGCAATTACTTTTCAAATTAGAACTGAATGTCAAATTAATTTTATTAATTAAAAAATTGTGAAATCATGATTACGGCAACATAAACCATCGAAAGCTCGACAATAAAACAACTCACTTATGTTACACCTTCCTTTAATTTTGCCTTTTAATATAAAATAATTTCACCTTTGAAGAAGTATAAGCGATAATAAATCTATCGGATGAAATACCTTCGATATAAATACAAAATTGCTATTTCTGGTATGCGACAAAAAGAAAACAAATTGCATTAAAAATTTAATTGAACAACTCAAAAAGTTGTTTTGTACAAAATTGATTGAAATTCTATTCATAATTCCATTGCTAAGACATTCATTTGACACTATTTACATATAAGAATGAGATGTTGATAAAGATTGTGTAGGGTGGTTGCGAGTCATTGCAGTCTCTTTTTTTGAGAGAGAATTCCGATAGTTTGAAGTATTTTGGCAATTAGCCTACTGAATTTCTTGTAGCAAACTGATAATTAAGGATGTATTTTGTGTCTCTGGACCACTCTGGTGAATTTGAAGTCAGACTCATTGACAAGCGGGTGGCCATCATCCTTTGTGACGAGCAGAATCGCCAGCTTCCTTTCTCATGGCAGCATTCTTGTTGCAAGTGCCAATATTTATTAGTGAGAAGAATTCGGGCTCACTTCGACAAAGGAAACTCGTAAGACGTTAATCAGGCAAGAAACACCAATGATGATATCGTATCCCATTGTAAGTGTGAGAGAGAAAAATTGTCAGCAAAGGTTGTGAAGGCGCTGAAGCTATCAGCGGCGATTCCAGACTAAGCTACCTGTAAAGAAAATGCTGTAGAGCTGTAAAAACAAATTACTTACCACCGGCTGAAAAACCCACCACTCCTAAGAGATCAAACAACTTTTCAACCCTCAAAAATGAAAAAAAAAAATGACCCAACAATACCAAATTAAATCTTGTAATTCTCAGAAAGGAAAAAAGAAAGAAAGAGAAAAATTAAATCTGTAAAATTCTAATATCTAAAGATAAGGGGGAGTGTAAAGATATTATGGAAAAGGGATGGGGATAAATGGGGTAGGGTAGGCACAGATGGCTTACCCTCCAAGCCTCGACCTAACACTTGTTGAACGGACAGCCCTATCATGGAGTGGAGTAAGTTGCAGGAGAGAGAGATAGAGATAAATTCTGCCATTCTGCATCTATTCATTATTTCTTTCTCCTATCCCTCTCACGGACCCTTTCTCGATCCCGGTCTCGATCCCGATCTCTGTCCCTCTCTCTTTCCCTATCTCTCTCTTTATCTTTATCCCTCCTCGACTCTGTCTTTCTCTGTTCAGCTTGGGCCAACCTCCTTTCGTGTTCGGCCAATTGTTGCCTCCTCATCTCCTCTCTCACCACTATCTACAATCGAAACAACAAACAAAATAGTGATTACTGTTTAAACAAACAGATAAATAAAATAAAAATGTTTGTTTACCTGTGCGGTTGTTAGAGGAAGCCAATATATTCGAGGGGTAGCTTTTGTCTTCCGGAAGAGACCGTCTAACAGTTTAGCTGGAGCTTCATTGTCTTTCTTTTTTAGTTTTCCTTACAAAAAAGAACAAAAAATAATATAACATTAACAAATAAATAATATATATGTACAAATCAAAATATTAATAAAACTATAAGTATAAAGTAAATTTAATTAAATGAGCATAAAAAGTTATTTATAGATTTTAAAAAAAGTTATATTTGATGTAATAATTTCATTGTAGGTTAACATAAAAAACAAAAATGTTATGCAGAATATTACAATTTGGTATGATAATACTGCTTTTTTCCATGTTTTAACAAACATTCTATAAGCAGAGTAGGTCAGAAAATGGCCAAAACTTGGATTTGAACTCATTGTTGCGATTCTAGTGTTAAAAAAACTTTAGATATCAACTTTCACGGAAAATAATTTTTTTGGCAGATAATTTTGACGTCCTTTTGTGCAACTAACCTTCCGTGCTTTCATTTTTCTCAAAACCGATTTTCATGGTTGATACTTTGTTTAAAAGAAATGACAAAAGTGCATTTTATAATTTTATCAACCATTAAAATCGGACTATTATTTCCATGGAAAAAAAAAACCAAAAAAAAACGAGCTTATTTTTTGACAGATAATTTTCTTCTTTTGAGCATTTTCTCATAGAAATCTTCTATATAAATTTTTTTGGTAAATATGTCGTTAAAAAGTGACGTTACTCTTAATTCAAATGCATTGGAGACGAGAAATGCACCCATGCACATTCTGATAAATATGTGAATAAATGCAATTCTTACGAGGGATTTCAGATTTTTCTGGACTGTGCTGGCGCCTCCGGTTTTCTGAATCAAGTTTGTTTTTATCCTTATTTTTGACCCATTCTTCTTTTTTCACCTCGAGCTGCGTCTGATTGGGAGCTTGGTTTTCATTGCCAGGCATCTTGCCCATGTCCCATTCCCTAATTGAGGTTGTGACCTGTACATAAATACAAAATATTACTTGGCAAGACACTAATATCGTTTTTCAATTAGAAGATTAATTGACAAAGAATTTACAAAAAGAAAAAAAAAACAATAATTATATAAATTCACTAATTTCATGGTCCACTTGACCAATTAATATATTACAATTAATTAAGGTTTTTAGTTGAGATAAAAAAGACAATGGCAAGAGCGGGATTCGAACCCACGATCTTCGCCTCGATACGCCGCTGCTCTACCACTTGAGCTATCGTGACCTCGATCCACTCGAACACCAACTTCCTATCTCAACCCCACCTTTTGAGTTTTCCCTCCTTTTTGCCATTTTTCAAATGTCGTGTAATCGGATTAGATTCTCGGCGACAAATGAAATGGCCACGGAGAGCTTTAGTAAAGTATACTTCATTTTAATTAATTAAATTCACTAATTTCGTGGTCCGCTTGACTAATTAATATATTACAATTAATTAAGGTTTTTAGTTGACATAAAAAAGACATTGGCACGAGCGGGATTCGAACCCACGATCTTCGGCTAGATACCCCGCTGCTCTACCACTTGAGCTATCGTGACCTCGATCCACTCGGACACTAACTTCCCATCTCAACCCCACCTTTTAAATTTTCCCTGCTTTTCGCCATTTTTCAATCAGCTGAGAATCCAATCCGATTACACGACATTTGAAAAATTTCTTAAATGAAAAACAAATCTCATATGCTCAAATTAAGTACAAATAGTTACCCGTCGAGATGAAGGTTTGATAATGTTCTTTTCAATTCCCCAAGTAGCTTCCTTGACTTCAAGCCTTTCATTCTTGTCAATGGCAGCTACCTCTTGTTTAATCGCCGCGTTGTGCTCTTCCTCGGCAAGTCGGAGCATTATATTAAGGTTTTGTTCATTTGAAAATTCAACTTTCAATGTCTTTGGGTTGTTGACAGGCCATCTGACGCCATGAAGGGCGTGCCTCGTCTCTACAGCCATTTCCACAGTCGTATACTAAAATTCAGTAAAGCTTGTAATTGTGTTTTTTTTTTTTTAATATATATGATTTATAAAAATAAACAATTACCTTGACATAACATTTAGATTTGATTTTATCAATAAAGAAACCGTTTGGTGCCAAAGTTCCTGTTCGAGCTAAAAGCTCCTTTAACTGTGGTACAGTAAAAGGCCTAACAAGATTGGTTATGTACAATATGTTTGTTGCTTTTTTAACTGATGGACTCGGTGACTTCCTTAATGTTTTGGCATCATCAGAAACAATTGATATTTTCCTAGCAGCTAAAAATAAAGAAAAATTAATCAAACCAACTTGAACTGATACGGGATACATTTCAACATCATTGAATTAAGTTTTTTTAATTAATCTAATAGAAAAAGCTCATATTTTGAAACTCTTCTATTAAAAGTAATATTGTTGATAAAATCAATGGTGCTTTTACCTCATTTTAATTACAGTCCTCAACATTAGAATCGATTTGAATATTAAATAAAACATTCCTTTAAACTATAGATATAACTTGCCTTTATGATTTTCTTGATTGTTGACTTTGACATCTACCTTTGGCTCATCCTTGTGCTTGATAATAATCTTTTTTTTCTTCACCTCATTATTATCCAACCCCTCCTCCTTAAAGCTTCTCTTACGTTCAGGCGTCTTAGACTTCTTGTCTTTGGATTCTCTAAGGTGCTTGCTCTCGTGCCCTCCAGGACCCTCGTCTTCCTCTGCAGCCACCCCATCGTCTTGCGACTCTAATATCAACTTTTTCTTCTCGGCTTCTTCCTTCTCAATCGTAAGCATTTCTTTTACTTCCTCCAAAGGCACAGGTGCAACGTCAGGAACCAAAGTCTATCAATTATGTATTATTTGTAACAACATACAATAGACTGACATAAAAATATAAGGAAGGTGTATTTTAATTGGGATATTAAAATTACCTTTAGCGTTAATGAAGAAATGGCAATTTGAGAATCTTTCTGTGGTTTAATTTGTTTACTTGTCCTTCTTTTTCTCAGACTAGTTGGTATTTCCTCTAAAATAAAATAAAAATTAATTAATTACTAGAGCATATATAATTTAAGAAAAAAAAATGATCAGTAAATCAACTAAACTTTACCTGTTAGCCTTTTCAATGCAGTCGGTCTTGCTCGTGACTCCTAAAAATGTTATACTTGGCATTAAAAATATTGACACGGAAAATTTTCACTTCACCAACAAATAATGACCATTGTCTGTTTTTTCACAGGTTCTGGAGTTTCTGCAGCTGAGGATATTTCTCCTTCTTCTTTTGTTGTGTCTAAATCAGAATCTGGCGTTTTGGCGCTATCGTTCACTTTCTTCTCCTTCTCCTCTGGTATCTCCTTAGCACCCTTAGCTGCAGCCCTCTCATTCAGTTTCTTTGCAATCTCCTCCATAGCAATCTCTTCCATGGCAATTTCATTGGATAATGAGATATCAATGCTTGCATTTTCCAACTTTTCATTTACTGGCTCTCTGTTTAGAAAAAAAAAGGCACGTGTTAATATATTGAAATTATTTGTTAATACTAGTTTCCATTTAAATTCTGAGCTACTTTGTGGATATTTTTTCTTTTGTACAGTCCTCTTTTTCATCCTGAGTCTCTTCATTGATTGCCACCTGGTTGGCTTCCACCACCATAGATTCACATTCACTAGATTTCTGTACGTCGGACCCCTCGACAGTAGTGTCTAGTTCACCTTCCTCTTTTTCCGGGATCGAAGGCCGATTAACAATCGGAGTTTCAGCGATGTCTGCCGGTTTCTGCACTTCAACCTCTTTCTCTGTTGTCTTTTCTGCTTTCTCCTCGCTGAGATTTCCCTCTTTGTCAGCACTCTCCTTTTCAGTCGGTGCTTCCTGTTTCACATTCTCTTCGGGGTTTATCTGAAGTGGAGCTTCTGAATCTGTATGAGAACCGGTCGATTCGGCACTCTCAGGGTCGTGCTTCTCTTTGGTAGCCCTTGCGAAAGAAAAATTTCTACGTCACAAAGAGAGGTTGATCAAAAACTAATTTGATTTATAAACAAACATGCACTAAATTTATCATCAAATGAATAACAACAGAAGATAAGCATTATTGTCATTCTTACAAACTCATCAAAAACAAAAAACTAATCCTTTTTAATAAGATAGTTCCTACTCACAATAAGGAAAAAAAAGTATAAGTAAAAAAAACTATTCTACAAACTCCTATTTTAATTGCAAGAAAGATGCTCGGTTGTTTATAATGACTCTGATGGTGTTCTCAACCTGTCTTTAATACCATACTCTGTGCTCATACTATAAACTTTTTTTTTTTGGTTTTGCTGATTTAACATAGAGCAAAAAAATTAATTAAGGTTTGTTAGTTGAGATAAAAAAGTCAATGGCACGAGCAGGATTCGAACCCACGACCTTCGGCTTGATACGCCGTTACTCTACCACTTGAGCTATCGTGACTTCGATCCCCTCGGGCACTAATTTCCCATCTCAACCCCACCTTTTGAATATTCCCTCCTTTTTGCCATTTTTCAAATGTCATGTAATCGGATTGGATTCTCGGCGACAAATGAAATGGCCACGGAGAGCTTTAGTGAAGTGTACTGGTCGTGGTCTGTTTGACTTGGTAGTTTGGTCATTTCCATTCTGCCCTGAATATCCTGTTATATATAATATCATGGCAGATAAAAATATCAGAAATAATCAAAAAAAGTTCATCACTTCTCAAACCCAACAACCACAAAATATGTTTTTATGAGAGTATTTCTAATTAACTAATCATAAAATGAGCCACTGGCGAGGCTATGAGGTTGGCTGACAATATGAAGCTGGCCAGTGGTTATAAAAAAAACAGAGAAACACAAAAGATCTACTCAGGTCGAGGTGCAGTAGGTTTTGTGGCCACCTTATTTGTCCCTAGCCCTAATTTGTTTTAATTTTGAAAACAGGACTTGCAATACATGTGAATCTGCGACTACCAAAAATACTTATTTTTGTACACACTTAACTGGATCTGTATTTGCCATGGTCAATGAGTTAAGACTATATTAGGAGAAAGGTTAAGTATAATTTAAATTTTTTTCTAAGAATACTGAAAGTAAGAACCCTCCAAGCTGTGAGCATATAAAGAAGAGACTATTTTTTCCGCCCTTGCACTTAACTTATGTTTTCATCTCGCATTTTCCAATTTAAAACTATTTTAACCACATCAAGACACAAATTTATAATTAATAAAAGTACTTCATGCTGGAATGTATACAGAAGAGGAAAATACAGCATTTCAAGCTTCTGAAAATTTATACAAATATTTTTTTAATCAGCGACAAAATACCTTTTTGTATACCTCTTCCTTCTTGGAGATGTTGTCTCCTTTGTCGGTGAAGACGAAGACTCGGCGGAATCAGTTAATCTTTGCCTACAAATTTTCAGCTTCTGGATCTCACCACCTGATCCGTTAGAGCTCTGAACTTTCCATGTCAAGCCCTCTTCTTCATTTTCAGCAGGTTTAGCCTCTTCAGGCTGAAACAGATGAATTTATATAGACATATACTCTAGTACAATAAAGTAAAGTAATCCTTTTCAAACTGGAAAGGTTTTATATTTTACTTTATTTATTTTTTAAATTATTCTCAAATAAAATTCCAATGAATGTAGGGATTTGAACCCAGAACAGCGAGTATGCAAACGGGAATTGAATTCCCTCATGACTGAGGTATTATAATAAATAATCAATTAATTAAGGTTTTTAGTTGAAATAAAAAAGTCAGTGTCACGAGTGGGATTTGAACCCACGACCTTCGACTTGATACGCCGGCTCAAGGTGGGGTTGAGATGGGAAGTTAGTGCCTGAGAGGATCGAAGTCACGATAGCTCAAGTGGTAGAGTAGCGGTGTATCAAGCCGAAGGTCGTGGGTTCGAATCCCACTCATGACACTGACTTTTTTATCTCAACTAAAAACCTTAATTAATTGAATGATATTAATTGGTCAAACGGACCACAAAAAATAATGAATTTAAAAAATAAACGATATTAATATTTTACCTTAGCAGGCTGAGCTTCCCAAAATTTACTATCATCCTTCCATTCTTTGTCATCAGAGTTTTCAACCACCTCTTCGCTCTTTGCTTTTTCTACCATCTCTGCTTCCATGTCTGGAGTATTTTTGGTCCTGGCGGATCGCCTGAGCCTGGTATGAGCATCAGAAGTTTCTGCCTGGTTTTTTAATTATCATCGGGTTATTATTTGACATAATGTTTAGAATATCCTTTATAACATACCTTCTCCTCATGTTTTTCCCTCTTGGTTTCTTTTTCAACAGGAATGTCAGGTTCTGGCTCTGATTCCGAGGTAGACTTCTTCCTCCGTCTCGTCTGTCGACTACTTTTTCTAGTCGAAGCTTTCTCTACGGATTTATCGGGTGTACCGTGCTTATTCCTTTCACTCTTTCTAACCATAATCCTGTAAAGTACAAATGTATTAGTATAAAATATTTGTCCTTCTAATAAATTATTAACAATATAAAATATATAAAATATTTACATGATATTCATGAAATATTTTGTATTGATTTAAGCTTTGAGAATAGGATCAGTAAATAACTATCAAAGTAAATCTATCAACAAACAACAACGTTTACACAAAAGGCTATCAATTATGGGGAAAAAATCAGCTTGGCAAGAATATTGTGCTTTTCTTAATAGAGCATCCTTAGTAAAGACAATTCAGTCAAACCTAAGGTTAAAGAATTTATATACCCCAAGATTACACACTGCAGTCGGGAAGTGGATGGTTCAAAAGCTGTTCCCAAGGTCTAACAATAAATAGGAAAATAATGACAATATGTGTGCAATTTTAGCAGATCCTTTTGTTCTTAAAAAATAAATGATGCGCTCAAAGCAAAAAGTAAATCTGCACCAGGATGTGACCGAATACACTAACTTAATGCTAGTAAACCTATCGCCCCATGAGCAAAATTATTATTTACTAAAATTTGGTTAAATAAATCAAGATACTATTGAAACTATTGAAAAAGTACATTGACAATTCCAATTTTAATGTCATATGGAGAGCACTCCAATTTCCCGAATTCATACCAGCCTATTGTGCTAATGTCATGTGTCCTGAAAACCTATGAATGGATTATTAAGGTTACAATGGTGGCTGGAGAATAATAAAATTTTGCCTGAAAGCCAGTATGGTTTTCGAAAAGTTCTATACATTCAGCATGTCTAATCTAACCTTATTATTAACATATATGATGCTTTCCCTGACTCAAAAAATGCTGCAGCTTTATTCCTTGATATCTCTCCTTCAACAATGTAGTTATTACCCTTCCGTGTATTAAATTGAAAAAATTTGTCTTCCTTGTTTGATAGTTCATAACATAAACTCGATATCCTCTAGAGAAATTATGCAGAATGAAATTGTTGATAACCTTGCCAAACAAGCATTTAAAAATGGCATTCTTGAAAATGTATAAATTCCCCCCCCTTTGACATCAAATCGTGTTTCCACAAAAAATCAGGTCTAAATGGCAATCTTCCCTACGGGGTAGTTCAGTAGGAATGTTTTATTAATCTATTAACCCTTATATAAATAAATTTTCGTGGTAATATAAGCAAAAATAAATGCTCAACCATCAACAGACTGTGGAACAACCATGGAATCTGCGCCTCCTATTTGCACAAAAAATAAAAGAGACAATCCTGACTGTGAGCTATGTGGTCTTCCTGATGAATTAGAGCATGTAGTAATGATCAATTAGTGCGCCAGCACATGGACATATTTTGGACAAGATGCACGGACTCAAAGGTTAAATACATTGTTTCTTATTTACATACCATTCAGTGTCCATGTGCCAAGCTCATATAGCCTATTCTTAATTGGATGAGGATGACCTCTTCTACTAATCAGATCCTCCAAGGGCACCTACCGACAGTGCTCTTGACATGCTTCTCTGTCAATCCAGCTGCCACTTTCTTTTCTTTCTTTCTTTTTTTTTTTCTTTCTATTATGGTCAGCAATAACGAGTCGATGCAAAGTAAGCAGAGCCATCATATTTTGAATCACCTCAAGCACATACAAAATCGCATACAATCGTGTAGATGCTACAGTGGTGAGAGTGACCATGAAGTCACCACCTTCGCGATATATGTCATGTAGTTAAGACAAGGCAAAAATTTGGTGTTCCTTGATCTAAGTACTAAGAACTTAGCATGTTGACTTGGTTCACACGGCTAATTCCAAATCTAGAGAGTATTCTGAATGATTAACTAAATTGAGCAAGTGTATCAACAAAACTGCTGTTGGTGTCAAGACATTTGAACCCAATATATTACTTTGTAACAGTAAGTGAACTGCACTAGTGAGTCAATGCGAATATGGTAGATTTTGTGGCTAAATGCAAACCGTTTTACTATTGAAATAAAACCTGTTAGCCATTGTGTACTGATGTGACAGCCCTGCGGAACAGTTATGCCCACATGTATATCATGTGCCTATCACAATGTTTTACTGTAGTAGATACAACAAAATCGTAATTTATAATTTGAATCACTACTTCCCACTTATACCTATGGCCCTCCTTTAAAATGTAAAACTAATTCATATGTAAACCCAAATCAGTTCGATTTTATGATTCTTATTCTTGTAATTACAGTTATGAAAAACTGTGTTTTTGTTCTTCATCGACCGCCCGCTATAGGATTTTTTTCAAAAACGCCAACACCCTGAGGGTTGATATGATATCTGATATTGTGAACCCTTGTTTAAAAAAAATAAATAAATAAAAATAAATAAATAAAAGTAGGGACCCTTCACATTACTGAGATAAAGTTAGCCTTGAGTCGGTAAATGAAAATAGTTCAGAGACTTTTTTTTAATATATAACTCTGTATATGTACGTTGTTAAGTTCTACATATTGAATACTATTACATATTATATGGTTTATGTTGTTTACGAAAGTTTACAGTTGCAAGTTTAAAGTTAATCACTTGAGCCCATTACTATTTTAACTTAAAAGGTTTGCTTATATTTCACCGTTTGGACTTTTTTACTGCGTGTACATTAGACTCTCATTATACATGGGGTATATGTAATAAACATTACCGCAAATAATAGGAAACGCCTCAAATTTCAGGCTTCGAAGCATTTTTTTTTTTCAATCTGCATACCAATCAGGCACTTTCTGAAAAGCAAGTGCCTATCGTCAATGTTATGTATGAACTTATGAACAGTACAACAAAGATTAATTATTAGGCAAAGTATGTTTGTTTTAAAATTAGTGTCACAAGTGTTACTCGAAATTCCTAACCTACGGATCAGTACCCCATTGAATATTAGCAAAAAAGTTATAGGTTGAGAGGTGGTTGGTGTCTCGAGGACAGAAGTCATGACAGCTCAAGCACTGGCGTACGGATCCAGAGGTTGTGGATACGAGTCCCACTTGTGACACTAATTTTTCAATTTAACCATACTTTGTATAATAATTAAAATAATTATTTTGATTAAAAGGACAAACTAAAAACAGGATCAAATTAAGGTTATCGACCTGCAGTATACAATGCTGTGAGTTGGATCTTCAGGAGGTTAAATGACAGATGAATTTAAAGAAACAAGGAAACAGCTTCCAGGTTCAGCCAAGCTTTCGGCAATTTATATCGCCAACTCAGGGCGTAAATTTATTGAAAACAATTTATACAAATTTTTTGACAAAAAAAAAACAGTACAATTTTGAAAAGATAAAAGCATTTTGAAAATTTGTCTTTTATCTTTTCACAATTGTACTATTTTTTGTCAAAATTTTTTTTATATTGTTTTCAATAAATTTAGGCCTGATGGCGATATAAATTGCCAAAGCTCAGCTGAACTCGGAAGTTGTTTTCTTGTTTCTTTAAATTCATCCGTCATTTGACTACCTGAAGATCCAACTCACGACAAACTAAAAACATATAACATATTAGTTTCTAACGTTCAAAAACAACATTTTAAGTTTAACTTCTAAAGCTTTAAAACTTCTCGGATTTACAATTTGTTTTTCTAAAGGTTTTCAGAATATTCAGATGTTAAAAGTGTTATAAATTTCTTTAATCAGAACCAACATTCAATTCTCTTCTGTTTAGTGACACTATCAGTATCTAAAACATTTTCTTGAATGTTTTCATATAAGAACATTAGGTTTAATTCCAAAATTTTGCTGTAAATTATTCAAAAATTCTAAACGCATTGAATGCAGAAACAATTGAACCCAGACATAAAAAGAATGATGTTGTATTTCTCCATAAATTATTAAATAAACAGATAAACCGTCCAGAACTCTCCAAATTAATTAACTTTAACATTCATTCTCATAACACCAGGAACCCTCATACTTTCAACTTAGCTTACTGTAGGACCAATTATACTTTTCATTCTTCAATCAACAGAGATCAGAGACAAGCTAACTCCATTGAAATAATTTTTTTTTTTCATTGATAAAAGTACAAAAAAAAATTTGAACTTTTATCTAGTTAATATTTGTAAAACCACCTGTATTTGTGTGTTCTTGTATATTTATTACCTATATTTTAATTCTAGTTTGAGTTTGCCTTGTTTTTATGTATTATTAGGCTTCTGAGCCTGTGTTTGTAATACATAAATAAAAAATAAATAAATATGACAAAGGTTGCATCATGTTACGCTTAGTTGTTTTTCTGTGATTCCCACTCATTCTTCAAGAACTTAATTTGGGGGAGAGGGGCAAATGTAGATGAATGAAAGCACAGAGTACAAAAGCATGGATAACGAGAGTCTACTGTATATTATCTAACTCCGTTCTGGCTAAAAACAAATTTTGAAACATAAAATTGTGAGAGATTTTATTAACAGAAATAGAGTGAAAGACTTGTCGTCCGGGCTGATTCAGACCAACCCGTTATCTTTACTGCTTTGGTTTGAAAATTGTAAAATTCTCCTAAAAAGATAAATCCAGCGGTGACCATGGTGAAACAGTGGACCAAGACTAACAGGCCAAATCTGACAGGGCAGAAGGTTAAGGAGTAACGAACACAAACTTGACTACTATACCACAATTGTTTATCCGGTTAAGACATTGAACAAATTATACCTTTAATCTAAGGTTTCGGTTGAGATGAAAAAGCAACTGTCATGAGCGGTATTCGAACATACGACCTTTGGCTCAATACGCCGCTGCTCTAATTTCTTGAGCAATCATGAGTTCGATCTAACCAGACAACTCTCAACCCACAACCTCTTGAATTTTCCCCCTTTTTGTCATACTCTCAAGTATCATATAATCAGGATTCGATTCTCAGCGACTTATGAAGTGTGGTTAGCAAAGTAAGTACTTCTTTAATTACTGTATTAATCCATATTGAACAGTCTTAATTGAAGGTATTAATTATCTTAATTATACTTTTTATCTAACAATTAATTAAGGTTTTTAGTTGAGATAAAAAAGTCAGTGTGACGAGCGGGATTCGAACCCACGACCTTCAGCTTGATACGCCGCTACTCTACCACTTGAGCTATCGTGACTTCCATCCACCCGGGCATTAACTTCCCATCTCAACCCTACCTTTTTGAATTTTCCCTCCTTTTTGCCTTTTTTCAATCTCTTTTTATATCATCTTCTATATCATCATATATCTTTTTTTATCTCAACTAAAAATCTTAATTAATTGAATGATATTAATTGGTCAAGCGGACCAAGAAAAATAGTGAATTTTTATCTAACGTCAAAGATGAGTTGTTGGTGTCGAAGTGGATCAAAGTCACGATAGCTCAAGTGGTTAGAGCAGCAGCGTATTGAGCCGAAGATCGTGGGTTCAAATCCCACTAACATTTTCATCTCAACCAAAACTTTAGATAATTAAAATAATTAATAAGGTAAATTATGACTAAGAAATATATATGGATTTTAATAACAAATTGAGTCACGTCTAACACACGCAAACGTATCACGTTACTTTAAAAAAAAGCAAATCGATAAGAAAAGTTACATGTATAGAAATATAATGGGCTTGGGGGACTTCGCTCAACGTATATACGATATTCGACAACTTTGTATCCACAAGAAAAAAGGATGGGCGTGTTGGGCGGCCCGGGCGAAACCACAACCTACGGCTGGGAAGTCGGTTTTATTCATGGTAAACCTTGACGTAAAATTGAAATTCGAAGCCGAGTGAGATCCGCTCCAGGCCTGAACGCGTTTCCCCTCGAAAAGTGCTAAATACGACCGTCGATCCGTCTTAGGGTCCGATTCTCGGATCGGGGCGACTGCCTTAGAAATTCCCCGTGCTATAATCCATCGATTTTTTATTTACGGATAATGTATTCGAGGAAGGGTGACGGGAAAGGGGCAGAGCGTGGACGTCCAGTGATAAAATTTTAAAGTAAACAGAAGATCGCCTCCGATACCTGCGCCGCCGAGCTAACCTAAAAGGAAGAAGCGGCGTCGAAGCCCCGGATCGCAAAAGCAAAAATGAAATTCATTTACTGACCTTTTATGCCGTTCGGCTCTGACGAATTAAAATAAAAACCATCAATAGGGAAGCGCCTTTGAAGACGATCAATCGCATCGGTGTCCAAGCCCGGTCGCTCGAGCCTCACTCGACCTTCATTCGACTCGAACAAACCACTAACCAGCCGAGTTTTCGGTGGCACTGGGAAATCGCAACCGCTTCGACTCGACCGGCCGTCGATTGACGCGACTCCGGATTTCGACAAAAAAAAAAAAAAGAAAAATCGTCCGATTCGAGTTTTGACGGAGTTCCCATCAAATTCGAAAACGGACCGAAATTGAAAAAAAGAGTAGGGATTTTTTCTAAAACTGGGCGCCGCGGCCGCGCCCCTCCCGCCGCTCGAAACTTTCGACGGTTGTTTTATCGACAATCTCCACGTCGACCTTTGGCCCCCGGTTTCCATTCCAATCACTTTTAAAAATGAGCTCGATCCCTTTTTCAATTCTATTTAAATTCCGATTTGACGATTTTCATTCCGAATTCCTTGGGACAGTAATCGCTTTCCGATTGGTATAACTGTTTTGTTTGCGACATTGCGACACCCATTCCTTATTGCATATTCTACAGTAATGAATATCTAGACAAATCCTGTTTCCATTTATCTTTCTTCTTTTGTGAACAAAATTATCGAAATATCAACTATACAAAAAGTTATATTGTCCCCTGTTCCGATTCTTGGAGGAAAGAGGGTTGTTTTATTGTCTAAATCCATGTATGATAGTGGTCATTATTGACCATATTAACTATTTCAATTAATTAGTATTTTTATCTAAGTTTTTGATTGAGATGGAAAAGTCAGTGTCACAAGTGGGATTCGAACCCACGACCTTTGGCTCAATACACCGCTGTTCTTACTACTTCAGCTATCGTGACTTCAGAACTGACTGTTGTACTTTTTCGTCTCAACCAAGACCTCCGATAAAAGAATAATAAAAAGTTTTATTGCATATTTCTTTATTTTACAGGCAAAGCCTATTAAATTTATACAATAGTTACAAATATACTTAGGAGAGCTAGTATAATAATATTCATTACAAAACATAAATAGTTAATTAAAGAAACAATTGACCATATTAACTATTTCAATTAATTATTCTTTTATCTAAGTTTTTGGTTGACATGGAAAAGTTAGTGTCACAAGTGGGATTCGAACCCACTGCATCTCATGACTTCTGAATAATTATGGACTAACGGTCACTAATCACCACACATTATGTAGTAATGTATAATTGTAAATATTAAACAAACAGAGCTAAGTGTTTACAGAACGATAATGAGACCCACACAATATGAAAATAGTACATAAACTGATCTAAACGTTTATATCTTGTGTGCAGAAATTAATTTATTTTTAAAAATGCTAATATCAGCTTGGTATGGGAGTTGTGGACAAGCCTTAGCTGTGTGCATTAACCTATTGATGGGACTTTCTTTTATATCTTATTTAGCGGATATGAAGAATGTTTTATGTATCCAGGTTGAGAGATGGGAAAGATTAAAGTTTAATTTGGAAAGTAAATAAGGAGACTCATATTATTTACAAGTTTATAAACGAAGATGATTTCAAGGTAAATTCTTCTCTTTCAAAAGTTAAGATATCAAAGGGATCCAAAATATTAAAGTAGTCTGTATAGCCTGGGGAATTTTAAGTTTGTAAGCTGCATATATTAGAAATTTATTCTGAACCTTTTCTATTTGTTGGATTCGTTTATCATAATGTGAGGGCCAGATAACACAGGAATAATCAAGATGGGAACTTACAAAGGAACAGTAAAGAATTTTGGGGGTTTTCGAGTCAGCGAATTCACTAATCTGATGATGTTCCCGAGAGCTCGATAGCATGTATTTCTGATAAGGGCAATGTGAGAATTGAAATTCAGTTTACTATCAAAAATAACATTGAGATATTAATTTCAGAATTGCCAAAGAAACGTTATCTATAGTATAATCAACACTGCACATTGTGACAACATTGCATTTCTTAATATTCAGCACTATTGAATTCTGCACCATTCATGAGTAGAGTTTGAGTCAGATTGGAGATCAAGACCATCTTGAAGGGTTCTGATGGTTTTATAAAGTTTCAAATCATCAGCATAAAGAAGGAAATTGCTATTCTTAACATATTTAAGTCATTAATGTAGAGATAAAATATTATAGGTGAGAAATGTCCACCTTGTGATACTCCTGATGTAGCATTGAAATCTTTTGAAAAGAAGTCGTTTATTTTCACTCTCTCACTTGTTTCCAATCAGAAAGATAAGACGTAAACCACTTTAGTGATTGAGTAGTAAACCTATGGAGTTTAATTTATTGATAAGTAGATCGTGGTTGACTCGGCCAAATGTTTTAGACAGGTCAGTATAGATTGTGTCCAATTAGTAATGACTATATACAGTAAAATAGCCCCACGTCCTCTAAAAAATGGAACAGGGGACCCAGAAACCAATTATTGTGCCAGAGAACCATTCTTAAATCAAGCAGCATGTCTACATGCTCTCTGTACAGAGCCAAGGCATGACACGTTTCTACTATGTGGGACAATTTGAGCAACCTTCTCTGCATAAGAGGCACCTGCACGGGCAAAAGCAGGTGTCAGTCTGTCAACTGTACATGGTCTATTATCAATCAAGTAAGTTATACTATAGTATTTATTTTATTTTATTATTTATTACAAACACAGGCTTAGAAACTTAATAACACAAAAAAACAAGGTAAACACAAAATAAACTTAAAATATAGGTTATAAGCAAATATGTATTCCACATATTCCTAGTTAAATTCAAGTATTTTAGTTAATTTATTTTTTATTATTACGATTATTACTTTTATCAAAACAATGTGATTGTTAATTCCATGTATTATTATATTTTAGCTTTATATTATTACGTCATTACTTCAATTATTTACTAATGTACTTAAATTCAAATTTTATAAATGTATTTTTCTATTAATTATATATATTCTGTTGTAGTATTTTATTCTTAATTTTAGTTTACTTTGTAAACTGTTGCTTTTCTACATTTTGTGCACATAAAAAAAGAGAGTGTGGTCTCAGTTTTAGCGCTGAAATTACAAACATTACAAATTTATACCAATTATTAGCTTCTTCCAATGTTTTAGAGCATAATAAATCAAAGAATTGTCTGGGTGGTAAATATGAAAAACCATTATTTACAAATAGTGTCATAAATAAGGCAAATTGAATGAAATTCTGTAACCATTCTAACTCATTTTGGTTACAATTTGAGCATAAGATTCGAGGATCGATGTTGTATTTTGTATTCTTTACATAGATAGCTATTATTTACATTTCTAATCTGGTTGATTAATCTCACCTTATCAATGCTCGTTCACAAATACAGGTATTGCTTGCCAAGACCCAGATTAGTGTTGATAATGGGTGTAAGTCTGTGAGTTGGTGATCCTATGCCGGTTCGGTACAAAGACCCAGATTGTTCGTCCTTCTAAATGTATAGTATGATAAAGTTGATGGTAGAATATTTAGTACCCCATCAACCCCCGATTAGGTTATTTACATAATAGTTGTAATGAGTGATGGTGGAATATCAAGTACTCCGTCACACTAAGTGAACAGCTTGTAAATAAGAAAGAGTATATTTAAGAGTGAGTGAGTGAGGAATGAGGAATTTGGCTTTGGGAATTGATTGCTGGGCTGAAATGGCCTTGATGTTGATAGCACTCAAAACCTAACCTCAGTGGATGAACAGAGAAGACCGAGGTCTGACCCCAGACTGCCAAGACTCAGGATGGGTAATTCTCTCGGCCTGCTGGTAATTTATTGTACGCACAAAAGCTGGAATTGCTGGTGAACTGCATGAAGTGATAGGCTCAACTATGTGCATATGTAATACAAGTGCAGATTTGAGCTTATACAAATTTGATTTTATTCATTGTATTGTCAGAGGGATTAATTAGCGTTTTATTCATTTTCATTCAAGATCTTGTTTTTTAGGGGTTTTGTTGATTTAACATAGAGCAAAAAATTACACCTAGAAAAATTTGATAACTCTCAGGAATTTCATTTAGGACTTTTTCTTTTCATCACCTATGTGAATGGCTTGGAACTTGTCCTGAATGATTGTGATCATCTGCAGACCTAAAAATTTTCAAACCTGTCAGGTCTCCCCTTCTGAGTCTTTCTCTTCAGGCCTCAATTGAAAATATATCTAATCAACAGTTTGTCCCTCAGTCTCCGATTTTCCAAACTAGGGGGACAATGCAAAAACTAGGTAGTCTTCACTATAAAAGTTACTTAAACAATGATGAATCATCACTTTCTCCAGTTGATTGCATTAATAAATTTTAAAATTATATTAATAGTTTAAACAAATCATCTAGCTGTTCAACCAGTATCAATCACAATATTTTTTTTTAAAATAATTTATTGAAGAAACTTTATTTGTGCAATGGTACATTATAGTTATCACAGTACTGCATAATATTAAAAAAAAAAAATGACATTAAACGTGTGGTGAGGTAAGATACCCAACGGTGTTCCTCACATAGTATTTAAAAATAGGAAGCAACGAGTTGTACTATAATGGCACATAAATTAATAAATAAGAAATAAGTAACAATATTTTTTTCACATTTGTCTATTCAAGTTTTGTTAGCCAGTTCAGAGTGCCTTTTATGTTTTAACCATCTTAGATGTCTCGGGGGTGGCTGATTGTTGGCGATATCCTGCATTAGTGGGTTAGGGTGTGACAGTATTTTTTCATTGTGCCAATCGTATGAGTCCTTTATCACCATCCGGAAATCTGGTATATCTAAATCCCAGTGAATGACGACGTTGCATATGCACCATGGGGGCCACAGTTATAAGACGAAGGATGTGTTTCTGAACGGTTTGGATTTTCTTTATTTGTGTATCTGATGCCGAGGACCATATTGAACAGCCATACTGCCAAATCGGTCTTATTACTGTTAGATAAATCAAGCGTTTGATATGCAGGGGTATATTTTGGCTGGTCAGGAGATGTTTGAAGGAGTACATCTGGTGTCGTGTTCCCTAACCATCCCTAAACAAACTTTTAATAGCAGACTCATTTGCTGACTAATTTTTTAAATTCTTCTTACAAAAACCCTCCTCTTAGGCAACGTGTTAATTCTAATATATCTGTAGATTTTGTTAACTTGTCCTCTTTACACATTAGTGTTGAAGAAGTTTCATTATAGTTGTCCAATGTCAATTGTAAAAAAGTCCTGCCCCTGATCAAGTACCTCCAATTGTTTTGAAATATTGTAATAATGCCTTAGCCCCAACATTATCCAAGTTCATTGGCTAATCATGCCAACAACTCATTTGCTCTAAGGACTTTCCTAATTATTCCAAAAGTCAGTTTTCTTGTCAATTTTCAAATCAGGGGATAAATCAGATGTTCAGAACTATAGTCCTAGGGACTGCGGTAGCTGAGTGGTTAGTGTGAGAGACTCTCGGCTCATAGACGCCGTGGTCGTGGGTTTGATTCCCACCGTCGCCCCTGGCCCTTTTTTCACGATAAACCCCCCCCCCCAAATATGAACACACATACAAGAATTCGTCAACATGGTTAATATGCATAGATCATAAGGCCAAATATTGAAAAAAAAAAAAAAAAAAAAAAAACTATAGTCCTATCTGCATCTAATCAACAATAGTTAAAGTCATTGAATCTTTAATACTTAATAAATTATAACCCTTGTAACATTTTAATAACTTGAGAACAAGGCAACCAATCCATTTAGAACGACTACCACCAATTTGTTAGTTTTTCAGTTATATTCTTTTGCTGCACATTGGCAGGCACCATGCACATATAATAATTTTTATTTTAGCATTAATACTTTGATATTGATTATGTTTAATATGTAAATTTGCTTTGCATGTCAAGACATGCTAACTTAGTAACTTCCATCTCCATACTCATACAACTACAGCTCATGAGAGACTAGTGACTACCTTTTGGCTTTTGGTAGACTCGATCTGTTGTAAACCTCCCCAGAGGGCTCTATGTGGGCTTTCTGCTACTACCCTCTGGCTTCTCCATTTTGCATTTCTTGAACTTTTCTTTGGAGGTGATTCTCGTGTCAAAAGAAGACACGAAATGTGTTACTTCGACCTTTACATATCCTCATTCTATTTGTTCAATACAATAAATACAATAATCTATACACAATTAATTTTGATTATTTACACGACTAATTAGGTATATAAAAAATAGCCTTCTTACGACGTTTTTAATTAACCAATCAATTATTGAACCCTGTGTGGATTTACCAAAAGTTCTGGCTATAAAACAAAGTTACAAACTTACAATAAAAAGTAATTTTTGATTACAATTAAATCTCATCTTCCTGATTAACAAATCTTTAGTTGCTAAATTTTTAATTATTTTATCAGCTTCTACTTAATTATATAAATTAATATAATATATATAGTATAATTAATTGAAAATCTTTAGTTTAGTTATTCTTTCTGAAAAGTTTTTTTGGAAAAAACCGTCTTCTTCAAACATACATTATTATTATTAATAATAATTTGGCATAGGGATAACCTGGCAAGCTTGCATATTTGTAGAAAGATGCAGAGATCAAGCTTAGCATTTAGAAATTAAAAAACACAGCTACATCCTTTCAAAGCTGGAAGACACAGCAATGTACATGAAGTGTCAAATAATTGTTGAAATTATGTAAATATGCAGTATTGTGAGTTCTTATTGCTCCCTGACATACTAATTTGATTGTATTAATCTAGTTTGTACTTTCAATTGAACAAAAAGGCAAGTTAAAAGAACTAGGCTTTCACTGTGGTATCAGTTTGTTATGGGCAAACTAAATTTTCATATGATCTACTTTAATCAGGTAATTAATGCAATTTAAGAATCAAAATAACGATTTAAGAAGACACTTTTTTTTTTTTTTTTTTTAATATCATATAGGTTTATTAAGTAATACAGTACACTACAGCTTTGCTTGGCTTTTAAAAAGTGCCTTTTAATTTATTTTTTTACATTCTTTCCAACAAACTTTCCAGCATTTCTTTATTGAGCCTACTTCTCATAAATGAGTAGGGTTTTCTGAAAGCCCGTTTTTTCTTCTGGTGAAATGTAAAAGGACTCTGCCTTTTAAAATTAGATATACTATCTATTGTATCAGACTCGGCGACAATACATTTCTTAGTGCTTATGCATGGCTTTGGAGTGGTGGATTTGGGGCATTTTGTGGTAGTTGTTTTGCACGTTGTAGTTGTGATACACTTTGCGGCCTTTGTGGTTGGGCACTTTGTTTTTGGTGTGTAGCATGGGGTTGTATGTCCGTCAGACTGACTTTTGCTGTCAAACCAGAATTAAAAAAAAAAAAAAAATCATTCCTTTAATTTAACAAAAATTACAAATTGTGAACTTACGATAAAATATTCCTTTTTAACCGTTCTCTCATTTCTATCATTTTCAACCAATTCAACAACTTCTCTCTTCTTACCCGTGACTTGAGATGATATTTACCACGAGGATGGTGATGACGAAAAGGAACGGTGTAAACATCTTGGTGATTTTGAATGTATTCTGGATTAACATTTCTAGCTTGCCTCATTTGAACATCTCTAGAATTACTATATTCTCTTAGTGGTTTGTAATTTATTTCCTCTAGAGACCTCTTGACCCGATGAAACAAATCTTTAGCAAGCTGCAACTTTGGGTGAACAATATCTTTAAAAAATTAATTAATTTTTGCTTTAGTTTATAAAACTATTTCTAACAGTGACTTTGAAAAAACTTGCATTTTTGTACTTGCATTAAAACACTCAACCTGACAACTCGTAGTCATTTTAGAGGAAAAAAAAACCTGATTGTGGTTGTCCAAAGTTAGGTTTAAAAAATAAATGTGCATATTTTTTAATTCATATTAATTTAATGCATATTGAATTTTAATTCTTTTCCTTTTTATTTAACTAGATACACAATAAATTGAAATGTTTGATTTCTAGTACATAGTATATCTAGAACAAATTGATTAATTTTTGAGTGTTTGGTATAATTTCTTTTAGAACGGAAAGGAATTTCAAAATGTGTTAAAAAGGCATTACATTTGAAAAAATAATTTATCATCAGGTCAGCTTAACAAACCAACTTATTAAAATTCTAACAGTACAGTACCAGCAGCATGAAAAATTGCTCTTGAAACTATACTTAATTTTACAAATAAATAAATATAAATAAAAATACATACTTACACTACTTACTACTATATGAACCAATCAGATTAAATTAATGTTGAAATTGGTTTATAAAAAAAATTCATTATACAGAAGGTATTTAGTATACCTTTATGTATCAAATTTGTCAAACATTAACTGGACAATTTAAATCAATGGTATAATTATATTTTATTCTTACCTTTTGATGTTTTGCTTTGTTTTTGACACTCCGTTTGCTTAGTGAATGTACTGATGAATTTGTGAGACTTCGAACATGTTTCTGCCAATTAAAATTACCTTTTATGAATGACATATCATTATCTACTTTATCATTGTTTTCTGGAATGCCTGAAATTTTGTATTTGTAAAAATAAATTACACTTTTCTAAGCCGTTCAGAATTTGCAAACCTTTATACTGTCCAGCAGACACTAATGTTATCACAATGGCCAGAATTGCAAACGCTGGTGTCTTCATAGTTTTCCAGTTGTAGATTGATCTTTCAAAATTTTCTATTTGAAAGCAAAACTATTTTCAATTATTTACTATCAAAGAAATCATTTTGCCTAAAAAAAAAAAGAACAAAACACCTGGTCTTAACAAATGAACATTTTTTAAATGTATTATTCAAACATTATGGTTGCTGTGTTATACTTTTGGCTCGTAGACCATATGGTTGTGGATTTGATTACCACCATCGCCCCTGGCATTTTTTCAAGCTTCCCTTCCCCCCCCCAAAAAAAGTATGATATACAGCAGAAAATAAAATGTTGCTATGGATGGTTATCCAGAGCGGATGCCAATGCCAAAAATAATTAAAGCAAAAAAAAATATATTGTTCACTTTTTATTTTGGTATAATGTGTTACGATGCTTTCTTATATTTCAACCTCAACAGTTTAACTTATGATTTTTCCTTCTCAAAGGTGGGATAATAGGTCATCTCAAAAAAACAACCAGTTTTTCTTTCAATCCACAATATTTCGGATTTATTTTAATCCTTCCTCAGGTGAGTTAACGCCTATACACAGAACAAATATTTCTTACATTTTTAGACCAACATGGTTATCATTATTTCTTCATTACTTACAGTGGTTAAAACAGTGGTCGTCAGTCATTAATATTGGTAAGTAGTGATACTATAAATCCGAAACATTGTGGATTGAAAGAAAAACTGGTTGTTTTTTTGAGATGACCTATTATCCCACCTTCAAGAAGGAAAAATCATAAGTTATAATGTGTTATATTTATACGTGTTTTCTCATTAAGCACATTCATTGGAAGGGTACCAGACTTGAATCTCAGTATCACAGAATTCAAACCAAACTTACTTCCAAATGGGCTTTTTTTAGTGGAAAAACACCAGAACACTGTTGGGATGGTTAAAACTTCTGCAGTTGCAATTCTCCATAAAAAATAACATCAAAAAACACATTCAATTTCTTAATACACTCAAAGACCAAAAAACGAGACACTTGTATTTTGTTGTTTATTTCAAATTAAATGTATTTTATTGTTATATTAATTACAACATATTTATTTTAATGTAAACCAAATTTAACAAGATCAAAAATTCTTGAATTTTAATAAAAAATATTTAATTATGATGGTTTGCAAGAAAATTCACTAAAATGCCGGAAAATATTCAACAATTATAGATTTAAATGTGTGGTGATTATTGACCGTTAGTCGATGATTATTCGGAAATCATGAGTTGCGGTCTGGTGTGATGTAGGTTTCAGAAAACCTTTTCTTTATCATGCCAACATTTCGATCTTTATTGAGATCATCTTCAGGGCCTGGGATTTACAAACATTGTTTAAATTTAACAAATACATGTAGGATATGGAAAAATGTGAATTTATACAATGCAAAAAATATTTTTTTATATTCAATATTTACGCAGAAAACAAACACTTTGAGTGAGTAGAAATACTTTGATTGAATATTTAAAAAAATATTTTTTGCATTGTATAAATTCACATTTTTCCACATCCTAAATGCATTTGTTAACATTAAACAATGTTTGTAAATCCCAGGCCCTGAAGATGATCTCTATAAAGATCGAAACGTTGCCACGATAAAGAAAAGGTTTTTCTGAAACCTACATCACACCAGACCGCTCTCACGATTTCCAAATAATTATAGATTTAAAATTGAATTATTTATTTACTGGTTTTGCTCTTAATGTCTTAATTTTTACATGTTTGGCAAAACACTGTCATCCCTGGGATTGATCTGGGATGGGGGTTGATACACAAGGCTCAGCTGGGGATGGAAGTGATGATCCCTGGGCTAAACTCCCTGTTCCCGGGACATCAGCAGAGCGTGGTTACGATCCACGGGGGTAATGTGCCCAGCACCATTCCCTTGCACCACTCTGCAATTTTGTATTTTGTTATTAAGCTTTTATATTTTGATTATAGTCAATAGATGTCATACAAATTTTTTGTAAGCCAGTGATTTATCCATTAAAGTGATTCGCGAGGAAGCTTCGGACCTGTAGCTTGGTTGTTTCTGATCCTTTTTGGCCTTCATAACCTTGCTCTTTTAGTATATGAGACACTTTTGGCTTTTTGCATCTTCAGTTGCTAGCCACGTTCATCAAGATAGACCAGGAAGCTATAGATTCATCTCCATGCAAATCCCAAGAAGAAATTTCACAAGAATTTTTAACAAAACCTTATATTCAATTATTGACATTGTGAAATTTCTAATTGATTAACCATACACAATAAAAACTTATATCAAATAATAAATTTTAAAAGTAAATCTAGAGTAAACTGTTGTCTTCAGAGACTAAAAATAGAATAAATATGAATGATCCTTATACAAAAATAAATAAAAAATACAGATTTGAGATTTTATTTTGGACGTGACAGCCATAAATGCTTATATATGGGTTTTAATCTCGTGCACATAACCACTTTCTCTACAGCAGAGAGCTGTAGTTTGACAATTATAGTCGATGGTAACTCTCATCCTCTGATAAAAACTGTTCTGACGCTTCAGTCACATAACAGCTTTCACAATTGCCTTCCTAAAATATTGTAAATAGATTATTTAATTTTTAATACAAATATATGTAATATGTGAATATTTTTACACTGATTGAAGTGTTAGAGGTTTGCAGCACACTGCATTCACTGCTAAGGAAGGTGCTATCTTCCTTGCACTGACAATTGCAGTTCTCATAACAGCCTTGTAGTTTATCAAATAAATTCAATAGCTTTCTGAAAAACATAGTCAGAATAAATACACGATCTGCTTTTAATTTTAATTAAAAACTAACCTATAATTTTCGAGGCATTGTTTGAACTTAGAACTGTACGTTGTTAGTTTGTTAATCAGGACCAACTTCTCTTTTGATTGTTCTCCCTTCACCTCTATGGCTTGTGATGAGTCATATTTGGCACTGCACAGCGACTGGATTTCCCTTTTTAAAGCATTGTTCTGGAGGAAAAAATACTTTTACATACTTAAATTTCTTATGAAACTGAATTTTTTTTTTTGATATTTACATTTTACATTTACATAATTCTTAAATATTATAGTCATGATTAGTAATTAAAAAGTAGCTAATAATGTTTTTCCGTGATTTCTCTTGTAGTACTTCTAGCTCAACATACATATCACACTCAGGCCCCTTCACATCACTGACATTTGTCCGACAATATTTTATCGTGAATTGGGCACTGATAGACTTGTGGATGTTACCTCCATCACTGGATATCGTAGGATATTTTATCACGCATGACACAATTTTTATGCAGGCTGCCTTCAATGGATTAACAGATACACCCATTCTTTTTTTAATGTAGGATAATTTTGTGCCAATAGACTAATGAACTAAGATCGCTTGGGTATAAAGACCATAAATATTTAAAAAATAGATTTTAATTTTTAAATTTAAAAGATAATTCATTAAATTCACTAATTTCGTGGTCTGCTTGACCAATTAATATATTACAATTAATTAAGGTTTTTAGTTGAGGTAAAAAGTCAATGGCACGAGCGGGATTCGAACCCACGATCTTCGGCTAGATACGCCGCTGCTCTACCACTTGAGCTATCATGACCTCGATCCACTCGGACATTAACTTCCTATCTCAAGGAGGGAAAATTCAAAAGGTGCAGTTGAGATAGGAAGTTAATGTCCGAGCAGATCGAGGTCACGATAGCTCAAGTGGTAGAGCAGCGGCGTATCTAGCCGAAGATCGTGGGTTCGAATCCCGCTCTTGCCATTGACTTTTTTATCTCAACTAAAAACCTTAATTAATTAAAAGATAATATATATTAAAATAAAGTTATTTACAAATTAATAAATTAGTGTTTGGTAATGTGACACAGATATTAACTAATAATATAATATGATATATGTAATATAATTTTTTAAACTTTTATAAATTAGGTAGGAAAATAAAAAATTCTACTTTGTATATTTATCAACAGTAGCATCTTTGCTTAGTTTATATAGTAGACCAATGTTTCGGCACTTCATCCCAAGAATGAAAAAAAAACCGTTCCACTATAACTGAGGATGTTAGAGGCTCTTGAAGGTGAAAAGCCAAATGGATAATGTCATTTTTTCATGGGAAACTTCCTTCATTAGAAGCCTTTAAAGTGAGAGAAGTTCAGTTTCAAATTGGAATGGTGCAAATGATATAAAACCTTTGTGAACTTCTTTGTCTTCTTTTCAGTCTATTTGTACTCAGTCTAATGTTTCCCTTTATCACCTTTCCAACACCAATGTTTCCAAATGTCAAGGGATCATCCACCACCACAGCAATAAGCCACTCAATATTACTAAAATGTTTTATTAATTACTTAAATCTAAAGTTCTTTATTGATTCAGTCAAGCTTTAGTGGTTTTTTAGTTATCTCAGCGTGATAGTGTTATGAATGATAAAACAGACAACATTTAACTGATTCATTATATAAATGAGTTTTTCTGTTTCTCCAAGAAATAACCCCATAAGAGATTGAGAATTAGTATAATGCAAAATAAACAGATGTAATAGTGTGAAAATTAAAAATTTTGTTACCTGCTTGAATTTATAGAATAATTATTTTATCTCTTTTTGTCAAATTTGTAATTTAAATGTGAAATCTAAGCTATGAATCAATAACCTCACTCAGATAGTTACAATGATCTATCAGCCTTTGTCTTGCAGTAAGTGTAAACTTGTCTTAAGAGTTACATGCCATTCGTGGCATCCTGAGTTGTTTTATTTATGCCGTCCGCTTAGAAGAGACTATTTGATTACGCCTATCATGTCTGTGTTCAATAATTAGAAATAATATAAATATATTTATCACAAAAACATTTTCACAATAGGGCTGTGGCTCTTTACAGTGAGTAGAAAAAGTATAAAATAATTAAATAACAAAAAGGTTACAAAATATAACGCAATTAATATTAATTAATAAACGATATTTGTATGATATTAACATAGTCGAATATTAATAAAGGAGAGAAGAAGGTATAAAAGAGAGAAGAAAAAGAAAATAGCAACAAGTTGAGTTAGTTTGATCAATTCAAGGTTACATGCAAAAAAGTTGAAATCTTCATGCCTAAAAGCTAACCTAGTAAGCCATGTAATTCCACAGAATCCTAGCGACCCTAAATTAATCATTCATAGATTTGGATCTATGATGCAAGCTTTTTATAATATTTAATATTTAAATTACGGGAAGAATTAATTTTAAATATAATGAATAAATATGATGGGCAGAGTTTATTTTTGGTTTTAAATAAGTAAATAAGAAATTGGAGTTTAAGGTAATAAAAAAATCTGATATCCAGAATGAACTTGTCATGTGTTGAAGTATGCTCTCTTCATTGTAAACTTAATATAAATCTTGTGCAATTATTAAAAAGTGAAAAAGAATAGAGAGTACTGCAATAAGTAAAAAAACATTAAAATAAGAATTTTGACTAATCAAGGTCTTGCAGAGATCCACAAATAATTAGAAGTAGTAATATATTAAAAATACTTTTCTTAGTAAAGTAAATAGAATATTGCTGGGCACAATAGGATTCTCAGATCATGAAGGATGTCAGGTTATTACAGGTGTCCCTGTCAATTCTATTGTTTCTGGCAATGTTCTATTTACTTTAGGAAGAAAAGTACTTCTAATGTATTATTTCTTCTAATTATTTGCGGATCTCTGCAAGACATTGAAAACAGAATAGGTAACGATACTTACTAAACTAACTTACTACAAATTCGTGAAGATGTAAGAGGGGGCATAGATGTTTTTGGTAGTTTTGTTTGATCCACAAATGGGGAAGTTTTGTTTTATTGTTCTTAAAATTTTTTCTGTTTCTAAATATATGTAAACTTTTTTCTAGTCATTTTAAACCTTGCAAAAATTGAACAGCAATTTATAAGAAATATTTTTAATGAGTACTAACCTAGTGAGAAAGGTACAACTAACATTACATATCTTATATAAAAAAATTCTCTTAATTTTTATCATTTTTTAAAACTATTTATATTGTATTCTAAATTAGGATTATCAATGATGATGAACTCACCTCATCTGAAAGATTTGTGTTGGCTACTTGTAAACGTTCAACAATATTTTCTAACTTTCTTGACTGCTCATCAAAAGTTGCACTTGCGTCTGTGTCAATTTTACACTAAAATATGCTTTTAAGTTGAAATACCAAAAAACAAATGAAACACAGTCAAATGATACTTCACTTACTGAGTGTTCGCTAAGCATGTTTATAACACCGGTCATTCTTTTTAACATATCTTCCTGAAATACATTGAGACAAGTAGTTTTATACTAATTTAAAAGAAAATACATACAATAAAATTAATTATTTAATTTAAAAAAAATTTAAACTCAAACCTTTGTATCAATTGTTTGAAGAAGATTTTGGTTTTCTTTTGTTAACAGTTCCTTCTCTTCAACACAGTGCTTGTGCTCTTTCAACTGTTCACATATTTTTTCCTTCAACGATGAACCATTAAATTATACCACTTTAATATAAATCTTACGATTAAACTGTAAAGTGTTTAAGCCCTTAAAGCTAGTCATGTCTCAATTACTTTAGTCCAAGTCAGTTGTTTATTCATCTCAAGTATCGTTACCCGTTCTGTTTTCAATGTCTTGCAGAGATCCGCGAATGCCTTCAGTCTTGCCCTCAGCGCTTTTATGGTCATTTCAGATTTGACTGCAGTTCTCTTCAGACCAAATAACTCCTGCAAATATATTGTCAATTTGAATTTTATCATCACAGGATATTTAGAAAGAATGCTGTATCAAAACCATTTCTACAAAAGATTTAATTTAGATAGAAGAGCTCAAAAAAAGAATTGGTCTTAAAAATGTAATTTTATTCAAACTCCCACAAAATATTTCTATCGGTTGACTTAATAATGTATATAAATTATTACATTGTTACTAAGTGGTTGATAAATATGATTGTTTTTTAAGAAACTTATAATCAATTTATCAACTAATTTAAAAAATTAATTTAAAAAATAGTGCTTTAGTAATTCAAATGGAAATAATTTGATTTTAACTTTCAAATAGAATATATATTTTAAAATTAAATCCATCAATTAAAGTTCTGCCATCATGAAATATGATTTTTTAAAAGAGTCAAATAATTAGCATAATAACAAGTATATACTGAGAAATATCAATTACTTTGGGGTAGAGTTAAAGCTAATAAGACTATTATTTTTTTATATTTTTTTTATTGGTTTTGTGTGTTTGTTGTTTATGTTATTTTATCCTCAACTGACGAGACACTGAGGTAAAGAGAGGCTAGCAAAATGATAAAAAAAAGAGAGTCGGTTACCATTTTATCATGTAACATAATGTTGGCTAGAGAAACTTTAAAATTAATTAAAATGATTAAAACGCGAGAACGACAGAAAAAAAATTGAGAGTCTAAAAAATGCACAATTCAAATGATTATAAAGATGGAGTGTTATGCACATGAAGAACAATGTTTTTTTGTTCTTTTTTTAAATTAGATACAGCATTCTTTGTGATGTTGAAAGATAAATGGTTGTACTTTTTCTTTCCTTCTGAGAACGACTGCTTTATTCATGAGGTTTTCTTGCAGGTTCTCATGTTCCAGGCAGATTTTGTGAAATTTGTCAATCTGTACTGACACATAACAAATTACAAAATAATGCAGATAATATCGTCACTGGTTTATAATTTTTACCTCCTTTTTAGCATCCATTAGTTTCATTTTGTATTCTTCAATTTGATCCTGTGTGTATTAATCAGATTCAATGATTGTCGTTTAAAATATTTCAGTTGCAGTACAATTACATAGACTAGTCATAAAGACAATGTCAAAGAAAAAACATCAATTTGGATAAGGTGTGAAAAACATGTAATAAATTGATGTCTTTATTACTAAAAACATAAAACCAATTTAACTCTCTGGGTTATCCTTATCAATACTTTCATGTATTTTTAAAGTTATATTTATTAAATTTTACTTGTTTATTATTTAATATATTTATCATTGTTATTATGGATGTGTTTGTGGGAGGGGTGATTGAATAAAACAATGTCCATGCATAAAAATATGAAATAAAATAACAGAAATAACAAAATCTGTTTCACAAAACATACAAGATATAAATAAACGAATAAATATATTATGTAATAAAATAATGAGAATTAAAGCACACTAATCTACATAATTAATCAGAATTCTAAAAATGTGTATATAAATTGATTACATAATTAAGTCAGACCTCTATGCCCCTAATTCATTTCTAAAAATTACACAATAGTGTAATCGTGTGCATGTCGCTGCATTGGGTCCGTTTACATAACTCAGTTCCGGAACGGTTAGTTTCTCATTGAAGATGGTACAAAGCTGAAACACGCTTAAGTAACAACAAAATTTTCTTGTCACAGTCCCAGTAAGGCTGGGTTGTCAGTGCCAGTTCAACATTTATTCACCGATTTGCATACCAGCGCCCACCATCAATTTTAATAGTAGAATGATCATAAATTACAAACCTTTTAACAGTTGAAAATGTGTTAAGCATGAACACAGTAAAATTTACTTTCACCAAATTCACACCATAAAATTATTAATAAAAATGCATAACTCGATGCATAATTACAAAATTTATTATATGTCCATTCACTATAAAAAGAGAGAATTGAAAGGTCTGCATGAAATATAAGCCCTTTATAAACCCTTGCATGATGTTGTCAAATAAATAAATTTTGACCCCCTCAATTAGAGGGTTAAAAATGACTGAAAACTGCTTCTACTTGCAGAGGCTGAGTCTAGAAGGGAAAAAGGTCACACTTACCAGCTTGCACATATGCCATACCAAGATCACAAACATACACCTTCTAATCGGGGTAAGACCAGGTGTCCATTCTATGGAGAATTTATCATGGTAGAGCATGCAATTACAGACTGTAAAGAATTAAGTCAGAAATACAACATCCTGAATGAACTATGCGTGGCCTTGAGGCATGGTAAATATATCGCTGTTCTAATATCTCGGGGCCATAAATATTTTAAATTATATATAGGATCTTTGTCTTCATGTAATACCCAATAGCATTTTCCAGTTTGTCTTTATACTCTTTATTGTCTGTGAGAACCGTCTTGTTCCTTTGTCCGATCTAGTGATTTTCTTCATTATTTTTTCTACTCATTCAACATTTTTACATTTTTCTTAATCTTCAATTCGTGTCTGTCTAATGAGGTGTTGTTTTTATTTTTATTATGAAAGTTTGTTATTATATTGGCTAGTGCTGCCCTAATTCCCCTTTCAGGTTTTCATCCTGTTCTTTACTTAGAAAAACTTCCAGTTTGCCGATTGTATCCATGATTGTCTTGCTTGTTAATTTACTTTTCACGTTAAATTTTGGTCCAACTGACAAAATTTCAACTACTTCGTCCAATATAGGCTTATCTGTCAGTTTACGACCCAGTCCTGTTGGACTTCATTGGGCTCCCTAGAAATTCTTCATTCTTTCATTTAATAGGTTATATAGTTTTTTATTCAGTTTTAATTTTCGTTTCTTCTTTTCCCTGTCAGCGAATTCTCTCTGTTTTCTCCTAAATTCTATAATGATGTTGGGGGGAATCTTGCCATTTAGTTCGTTTTGTTTGGTAGCTATGTCTCTTTCAAATCCTTTAATCTGGGAATAAGCAATGCTTATATCCAGGTTCAAGATTTTCTTTTTAGAGTTATAAAATATGGAATCTAGTTTTTTGATGTAAGTAGCTATGCTCACCGGTAAAATATGTTTGTCCACTTTTAACACGTTATTAAGATAATTAGGAAAAACATTGTTTCTTCTACATTTTATCAAGAATTCTTTCTTGAGTTGGGCGTTTAATAACTTATTATTTAGAGAAGAACATTTCTTAAAACTTGACATTACTTGTGTTCCGTATTTCTCAGCGATCTGTCTGTAGAACATACCTCCTCCTCGATGGGCAGTACTGGCATGTCCGTTGATATCTCCCATGGTTAGAGTAACGATGTTTTCTTATATTTTGACCTCAACAGATTAACTTATGATTTTTCCTTCTCGAAGGTGGGATAATAGGTCATGACCTATTATATATTATTGGGTTGTCCGGAAAATAATGCAGGATTTTGGTATTAAACAAAAAAAAAGAAACTAGTTACTTTAAAGCAATGTTCTTTAATCAAAATAATTTCCCATACTCTCAATACATTTCTCCCAACGTGTTGGTAACTTATTAATTCCGTCTGAGTAGAATTCAGAATTTTTAGAATTGATAAAGTCAATAAATGCATTTTCCAGTTCCGTTTGATTTTTGAATATTATGTGTTGTAAGTAGTGGTCCAGGTGTCTAAAAAAATGGTAGTCAGTAGGCGAGAGGTCCGGAGAGTAGGGTGGGTGAGGCAAAGTTTCATAGCCAAGCTCCAATAATTTTTGTGACGTTACACGTGACACATGTGGTCGAGCGTTGTCATGCAACAAAATGGGCCCTTTCCGATTGACCAAAGAGGGCTTCATTACTGCCAATTTCTGATGCATGGTATTAATTTGGTTACAGTATGATTCAGCATTGATGGTTTCGCCAGGATTTAAGAAGCTGTAGTGTATTAAACCAAATGAAGCCCACCATACCGTAACCATTACCTTTTTTTGATGAGTTGGGGGCTTTGGAAAATGTATTGGAGCTTCTCCTTTGTCGAGCCACTGTCCAGAACGTCTAGTGTTATCGTAGAGAATCCACTTTTCGTCACATGTAACAATTCTGGCCAGAAATGGGTCATTTTTGTTTCGACAAAGAAGTGATGCACAAACATCAAAGCGCTGATTTTTTTGGCGATCGTTTAATGAGTGTGGAACCCAATTTTCGAGTTTTTTCACTTTTCCAATCGCCTTGAGGTGGTCAGCGACGGTCGTTTTACTGACTTTGAGTTGCTCTGCAAGTTCTCGAACAGTTGTTTTGGGGTTTTCTTCCACCACTGATCGCAGAACATCATCATTAAGAGAGGAAGGCCTTCCACGACCTTCTTCATCTTCAAGGCTGAAATCTCCCTCCCGAAATTTTTTAAACCACCTTTGCACAGTGCACTCATTAACACAACCCTCGCCCCAGACTTGGTTAATGTTTCTAGCCGTTTGGGCTCCGCTTCGGCCGAGTTTAAACTCGTAAAAGAAAATCGTACGAAATTCTCGCTTTGACATTATAAGGATGACTGAATTATTTCCAAGTAGCGGAATGCTACAGAGGTAAACAAACAATATCATTTGGAAGAGGATTAATAAGTGTTGACATTCATACAAATGAGTAATCCTGTAAACGTAAACAGAATATTTTATATAGATTTTTTTTTATGAAAACTTAAAATCCTGCATTATTTTCCGGACAACCCGATACATATAATATTTATATATTATACCTTCGAGAAGGAAAAATCATAAGTTAAACTGTTGAGGTCAAAATATAAGAAAACATTGTATCTAATACGTTATTGTAAAAAAAATGTATTTATTTGTGGGAATTAAAGGGCTCATCCCCTAAATACACTGAGAAATATCGTGTACTGGGTAGTGTGAATTATTTGCGCTGTGAATAGGTAATTTATTAGTGTGAATGTCCTATCCCCAATTACCCTGAGTAATATACAAGTACTCTGGGGCAGAGTGAATGAATATGCAAATGTAATTTATTAGCATGAATGGAGAGGTTTATGCCCAATTACTCCTAGAAATATCACATATTCCGGGGTGGTGAGATTGTATGAATGTAATTCATTAGTGTGAATGAAGAAGGGGCTTATCCCCAATCACCCCAATGAATATCGAGTACTCTTGGGTAGTGTGAATGCTAATTGCTAACCAGGCTATCGTGTTTTTATCTTGTTTCTGTGTATTTGAGTTTGTTATTTGTCTTATTTTATTCACACTTAACGAAGATTGAGATACAGAAAGGCTAGCAATAGTCCAAAGAAAAGAGAGAACGAGTTGGTTACCGTTGTACCATAAAATATCGTAACTCAGCTTGAAAAACAGAAAATAAAAATAGTAGGATTAAAATGAAAAAAAAAAACAAGAATAGAAATGTAAAACTAAGGAAGAGAGAGCTGGCGATGACCAATGCTTCTATATTTTGCTCTGCTAACGTGTTATTCATACAGTGGAAACAAGTGATGGTGGTTTTTTTTTTTTTTTTCAATTACAAACAACAAACAATTATAATAACTTTAGGAAATAATTTGTAGAAAAAGTTACGATAAACCAAATATTTAGCAAACATTACAAAATGTATACACAAATAACATCTTTTTATTTTAAACAACTACTGTTTCCTCCACCTCGTGGTTTTGTCTTAAATGCATTTTGTCATTTTGCTTTTTTTAAATGTTTTTAGTCATTGATTTATGCTGTTTTAATTAAATTAATTAAGAAACATTGATGATAATGAATGCCAAAACACATCTTGTGGACACTAACCAAAGATAATATGCTATTAATAATAAGTATGTTTTGCCTCCCTGCTGTATAAACCATTAGCTTTGTAGTGCTGCTTAGATACAATTTATCTTTACATCTCACCCAATTGTCTTGTTTTATTAACTTCTCTTCAAGCCTTCCATTTTCAAATTCAAGGTTCGTTATCTAGAAAATAATATGAACCATAATGAAACAAATTTGTCTTTCCAGATATTTTACAGTAAAATTAGTTGGCTTATCTAGTTTCTTTACAACAATTGAATATTTAAAATAATTAAAGGTTAAATCGAGCACTTTTGACATAACAATGTTTATCTCATAGAAAGACCTCACTAATTTAAAAATAATAATAGAATAAACAAAATTAAAAAAAAAAAAATGAAAGCAAACAATATTAATTAATGACAGTGTAAAAAAATCTATCTTCAATCTTATTTTGGGTTTAAAGAATTTATTTTACATGAAGCCTTTTATTATGAATATTATTGATGATATATAAAAATAAATTTTCTCTTTATTAATTAATACAAAGTTGTTTTACCAAATCATTTGTATTTGTCAGTCTCATGTTTGACAATGCAAAAGAAAACAAAAACAAAGTGTATAGGATAGTACAAAAAAGTTGCAAAGAATAGATGTTTTATTAAACAGTAACTAAAAAGGACATCAGAGTAAAGTAATGACTTCATAGAGTAAAATAAGCATATCACAGAAAACTGCAAAAAGAAGCCCACTTTTTAAATAAAAAAAAAACAAAACAAAAAACTAATGAAATATTTAAAAGGGCTAAAAACAGACACAAAAACCTTATAAACAGACACTGTGAAATTAATAAAATGAATTAACAAATCTGAAACTTTATAACTGACACATATCAAGTTGATTGGAAACAAAAGAAACATCGTTCATTAAAAATCACTGTCAGATAAAGTTGTCGATGGTTGTTAAACATCATATATATGCCGCTGCGGTTGCCGGAACTGCGGCCATGACAGAAACCAGGATTTGTTTTCCTGGGCTTTGTCAATAGGGCAATTCTGTATAGACTCCTGCAGGCTGCAAATCTACGTACATTCCGCTTGAAATACCACGATTTTCCCAAATATATAATTTATTTATTTTTCTTTAAAAAATTACCTTAGATTGAAGCTCACCCAAAGTTAGATTTCGCTCTTCAATCATATTTTCTTTTTCTTCATTCTGAAGAGAAATAGTATTTGTTATAGCATACATTAATATATTACTTAGTCATGTAAAAAAATTAAATTTTCATAATTTACCAATTTTTCTAGTTGTGCTTTCAGTTCATCACTAATCTTTTCAAGTTCATTGCATTTTGTTTCAAGTGTTTTATTCTTAATTCTTTCTCTTTCCTATAAGAAACATTAATGAATAGATATAACGTTTGGCTTAAGATTTTCTTAAGTGAATTTAAACACAGTTAAGGGGCGTCAGTGGCGGCAACCGTTTCGGCCTTGACACAGCACTCATCACTGTAAAGTAAAGGTCCCAGGTTCAAATTCAGCAACCCTGCATTTGAGCCCGACAAACTTACAAATGGGCTTTTTTTTCAAAAACATTGCCACCCTGAGGGTTCATATAACCTCATAGTTGAAATACCCTCGTTTGTTTCAATAAATAAATTAATTAAACACACATTTATTTATTTAACCATTGAATTCTGATTTATTTTTACTTACCCTTTGTTGGTCAAGTTCATGTTTTAAGAAATTTGCCTTTTCAAGTGAAGCTTTAAGGTGCTTAACTTCATCTTCATGTTCCTCCTGTGAACAAACATGTATGTTGTTTAAAAGTGCTCCAATTTTTATACTGTCAATGTTACCAGTCTATCATTCAATTCATCCAATACAGTTTTCTGGAGGTAGATTTCTTCTTCTTTAGACATTACCTGTAAAAAAAAAATGCATAAATAAAATTACCCTCTCCCATCTGGCATAAAAACTATCAGTACGTACAAGTTGCTTAAGTCGTTGTTCAGTATTTTTTAATTCTTCTTCAGCATTATTTTGTTTATGCTTTAACATTTCTATTTCTTTATCTTTTTCTTTCAATTCTATTGAACAACTATTAAATTTTGTTTGAATATCATCGACTTTCTGTTTAAGAAGTTCGAGCTTAAAAATAAAATAAACGATTACAGAACCAATACAGTAGAGGAATTTGTCATGTGAATACAAGTACCTCTTCAATCAGTTGTGTTCGCTCCTCTTTCAACTTTTTGTATTCTTCTCCTAAGTTAACTAATTGGTCTTCTTTCTTGTGCTATATGTAAATATAACAGTATGATAATTTTGCAAAGATGAAAGCTACAATTTAACGAACATACCAATACATAAACCTGTTCTTGAATTTTTGTAAAGAGTTGTTTCAGTGTATTGAAATTTTGGTTTAGGCAGTTGATTTCTTGAGCGTTTGCTTGCTACAAGTTGGAAATTGTAGGTACATATAAACTCTCGGGTAACAATAAAAAGATAAACTTATGTAATAGATACAAGAATCAAAATGCACTGTAAAATATTGTGTTGAAATGTATGAGGTTATGAATATATAGTTTGATCATCTGCAATCTCCTGGTCTGTCTGCTTTGCTGGTATTGTCTGCCAGATGCAATGGAGAAGTGTTTAAGAGATAATCACTACACAATTACAATTTTCTGTTAAAATGACATTGTTGAAAAAAATTAATTACTTAAGTTAAATTCAGTATTTTACAGTGCTACCTTTGGTATATTGAATAGACATGGACAAACCTTTATTTTTCTAAAGTTTTCTTGGAGGCCTTTAACCAGACACGAACTGCTTTTCAATATCATACAAAAATTATGCATCTTCGTATTTAGGTTTTCTATAGCTTTGTCTTTTTCAAACTGCAAACATTAAAATTTAATACTCTATTAAAAATTAAATCCCTAAATAAAAAAAAGTTTTTAGACCTTGGTACTTTCAAATAATGTTGAAATTTCAACAACACGCTGTGCCTCTGACATGATTTTATTTTTTAAATCAGTTATCATATTATCCTTTTCCTTCTAAAATAGTAAGTGGTAAACAGGAATAAATAAACAAATTATGATTATTTTTATATTTAGTTGAAATGGTAGGCTAATCTGTCTACCAAGAAATGGTAGGGAAAGTCTACCAACACACCCACAAAAAAAAAAAAAAAGGTTTACCAGAGATTTCTTGTTCTCTTGGATAATTTCTTGATTAATCCGCACCTAGACAAGAAAAGTCAAAACAAATCTTGAGAAAATAAAATCAGTTTTATTTACCAAAGATGCATTCTCGAATTTAAGCACTTCCAGATGTTCAGTAGATATTTTGAGTTGCTGTTGTAAACTCTCTGCTTCATTTTTACAGTCTCCCTAAAACCATCAATGCTCAAAAAATTAATAGAAATAAAAAATGTTTCAAGAATTCAGTTTGCAATTTCAAAATGATTAATTTAAGAAGAAATAACATGGTAATATTAATGTTTAATACACTAAAAGAGGATTGTTTTAACATTCCGATTGTAAGATGACCTTTTTATTGTCTCTAAACAAGGTTGTTGTTTTAATTACTCTTGTTAAAAGATGTATAATTAAATACACTAAAAAAAGAAAAGAAAATTGAACTACCATTCCTTTAATGAGAATAGACAGTCTTGTATTTTCTTTTTCTTTTTCTTTCTAAAAAATATTTTAAAAATTAAATATTTAAAAACAACGATACAGGCTCTGAATAATAATAATAGTATAGTTATTGACCATGCATTTCAATTGTTCATTCAACTCTTCAATCGATGTTTCTGAAATTTTCAAATTTGTCTTCAACTCTTCAATTTCATCCATTTTGCATTGCTGAAAATGTGATTACTAATTAGGGATGATTTAGGCAATAATTGCAAAGTGCTTAATACATTTTGTTGGGTTGCTTAACGAAAGTTACACTTCTAACACAAAATGCTTTTTAAAAAATTTATTTTAAGTGGATTAATTTAAAAAGGAATTATTTCTCTTAATTATTTATATTAAATACAAATGTTAGAAATGTTTACGTATAAAAGAAACAAATTAACGAACAATACCAATTCATTTAATTTTTCTGCTTGAAATTCAGCATAAGTGTGTAAAGAGTTGCTTAATTCTTGCTCCAAGAAATATATGCGTTGTTCTTTGACAAGCTGAATATTATATTAAAAATTGAGAAATGCACATCCCCTGATATCACTTTCATATGGCAGACGTACCTGTTCTTTCATGCTATTTGTTTTCATTTCCTTCTCCTGTTTAAGTAATTCTTCAAGCTGCAATAAGTTTAAACTTTATATTTTAAAAAAAGTTTGAGGGATCAGCATCATACCTTGAGCCTGTATTTTTGGACATCTTCTTTCCACTTCATCAACTGCTGATTGTCCCCATCTCTCGACGACTTTTCGCACGAACATAAATAATTCAATATACTCAACAGTTTAATTTATTTTTAATTTAAATTTAAAAAAGTACCTCAACTGAAAGAATGAAATTATCAATCGTGGATTTTAACTTGGACTGTAAGTCTTCGATTTTCTTTTCAGAAATTAAGTGTTTTGCCTCAGCCAGCTCCCTTTCAGAGTTCTAAAATAAAAGTAAAAAAAGGATTATACATGTAATATTATCAATAATTTTAAACTAATACTCACATAATTCTTTGCGGTCATGAGCATATTGTGGATGTCATCAGCCATCATTGAAATAGATTTTTGCAAACTGGCCATTTTACAAATTTTTCTACTATTCTGTAAAATTGTGAAATTACACTTTTTTTTTGGTTACACTTTATTAACTTGTAAATAAGCTAGAAAGGTTATCATAAAGATTGTTAAGATTGCTGTCGATTATCAAATTTATGAAAAACAGTTTTATAGATGAAAATTTTTCTTTTTTGTAAGTGTTATTATGAGGTGGTTTTTTTCTTGTACTTAATAAAAATTACCATTTTGCAACATTTCAGCAATTCTGTGCCCTTTTCAAGATTATTTTAATTTTAATATTTTAATTTAAAAGAATAACGTAAAGTTAAACAATTTTCCAATTTTCCCATTATGTGGCAGGGTTGCTAGTATCCCCCTTAAGCCGGATGCTCAGGAGATCATTGCTTCCCTACCAGTGGGGTTAGGCTCTGACGGGGGCTTTATTTATTTTATTTATTTACGGATCAAAATCCACTATAAAAAGACATTTTACAAGAACAAAAAATAAAAATAATATATGTAAAAAAATACAAATAATATATAAAAAGAATAACGACATATATACATGGTAATATTATAAATGGTAAATATAAATGATATATATAAAAATACAATTAAAGAGTAAAAACTGAGCAACAACAAAAATGAAAGACATAATTACTAACAAAATAAGGCAAAGGAAACAAAATAAAGCTGAAAGACAATTGAAACTACAATATTTAGGTACATATTTAATAAAAATAATGCTCTATGTGAATATATAATAAGACTAGAGTGTGAGATTTAAGTGAACTAGTAAATGAAATAAATTTTGATCAGTATGAAATATAAAAGCATTTAAAAATAAATAAATAAAATGGTAAGAAAATTCAACTAAACTAAGGTTGGAGGATGTTTTTCAAAGATTGCAAGAACTATTGAAGAAGTCAATGCTATTGCAGATGTTGTTACTCTTGATCATCATTCTGTGTAGAGAAGAATAGAGTCTGTAGTTAGAGCCTTGGAATTCAATATAAAATAGTTTGTGGGTTTTAAGAGAGTGCGAAGGGACATGTAGCTGTAGTTGAGAGAGGAAAGAAGGACTATCAAAGAGATTGTTTAATAATTTAAATACAAAAACAATATTAAAGTAATCCCTTCTTAGTGCCAGTTGGAAAAGTTTAAATTCAGAGTGGATTCCAGGGTAGGTAGAGTTTGGAGGAAGATTGAGTTTGTAGGAAAGTTTTTTAAAATTTGTTTTGTACAGATTGAAGAATTTTTTGATAATTTAGGTAGAATGGGTTCCAAACATGGGTAGCATATTCTAGTATGGGTTGTACAAAAGCTTTATAAAGATGGACAAAACATAGAGAATTTTTAAATTCATAGGTGTTCCAGATGATGAAACCTAGCATATCAACATCAAGGTCATTTCAGCCCTAAACACATGCAACTATAATTTAGCATACTATAATTAAATTCAATAAGTTAGTCGCACAGATAAATACATTCATGCATTGCACTCATTCTGATTAGCCGGTTGAGTACTGGATATTCCTCCATCTATTAATATAATAATGTAACCTCAATTAGGGTCAATAGCATACTTTAACAAATATTTCTCCATTAATTAAGGTTTTAGTTAAGATGAAAAAAAGTTAATGGCACGAGCGGGATTTGAACCCACGATCTTCGGCTAGATACGCCGCTGTTCTACCACTTGAGCTATCGTGACCTCGATCCACTTGGACATCAACTTCCTATCTCAACCCCACCTTTTAAATTTTCCCTGCTTTTTGTCATTTTTCAATGGCGGACCACGAAATTAGTGAATTAAATATTCCACCATTGACCGAAATCACACACACGCTGCTATATTTACCAATACCCCTCACCACTCACACTGATAAATACATGCATTCAAACAAAACACATAATTACAGAACACAGAACATAACTACATACATTTAAATACCCCCTGTCCTCCAAAAAACCGAACAGGGGACTACTGTACTCAAGAACCATTCTTAAATGCAGCAACAAGCCTAAACACAATATCTGAATAAGGGGCACCTGCATCGACTGGCCCAAAAGGTCATGTGTCAACCTTGTATGGCCAATCCTCAATTGCATACATAATTACTAATATTATTTGTTCTTAGTGAATTTTTTTTTTCTCTTTTAAAGGCATCAATTATTTTAGTTACCATTACAACAGGTTCAAGTGTTGTCAATTCATTCTGGAGTGAACTCATAGCTTTGTGCAGTCGAGTACCCTCATTGACAATGTCGCTTAACTGAAAATAAACCAAATCAGGATGTTTCCAGAACCGAGGGATTACATACATACAGCCTTTTCACGTCGGCGTAAGTCCAGCACGCACGACTTGACCTCTTTTTGCAGTTTGTACGCTATTGTATGGATATGTTGGTGTGGCTTTGCGAGACATTCGTCCAATGAATTAGACTGAAGTAGAAATTTTTTAAATTATAACTGTAAAAATATCCCAAAATATTCCAATTTACCTCGACTTCAGTTTCTATCAAAATTGCATCTTCCTGATTTTCAAGTGCCTATAAAATGATCAATAATTTATACTCTTTATCGAGACAAATACTTATAGGATTTATAGTCAATAAATGTACTCACTGAAAATATATTTGCTGACTCAATAAGTTTTAGGAAATTAACGCTTTCATTACTTGTAATTCTGAGATCCTAAATTCAAATGAGCAAATTTATTATTCTACAGCACAAATACTAACTACACATTTGTTGGATTATTTAAACGATAACTATTTGACATTTCCATTTGTGATAAGTGGGGTGTATCAAATGAATAATATGAAACCTCTATAAATAAATAAAAGATTTTTAAGTACAAGTAATGCAATTAAGAAAGAAGAAATAGTTTTTTACCAATTAAATCAATTTCTTATGATAATAAACATGCTACCCTGAACTGGAAGATTCAATGTATCAAAGATAGAAAGGTACTGGGTTGATTACTCATTTGACTTGGATAAAAGCATAAAATTTCAGACTATTTTTATAAATCTAACAAAGTTTCAGATGTCTTTTTCTTTTATAAAGTAATACAACTTTTAAAATGAACTCCTGGTAGAAATTAAAAAAATGTCAAATAGGGATATCCTTCAAATAGTTGGAATTTATTAATCATTTAATGAGTAACCTAGAGTAATGTAATTTATTAAATAATATGCTACCTGATCCTTTGCCGTATCGAGTAGAATTTGGAGTTCACTTTTAACATCTTTCACAATGTTCCCGTGTTCTTTTAAGTTCATATCCATTTGGCTTAACTTTGCTTCAAGTTGCTGGTAACAGCTTTCCTAAAAGGTTGTAACAAGTGAGTTCCTGACTGACTTAAACATAAAATTTATACTTTCTACCTGGAACATCTTGATGCTGTTTAATTTTTGAAGGACACTTTCTTTTTCCACTATTGCCTGATTTATATTATTTTGAATTATTCCAATCTTTTCCAAGTGTATTTTCTAATGTAATAAGATATATTAATATAGAAATTATATTAATAGACATATCAGATTTTTGCTGTTGCCATTGTACTTACTGGTAATTTTGGCATGCTGTGGTCTTCTTTAATTTCTGAAACCCCACTGCATGTGTGTTGGTCTTCTTCGTGACACTCGAGGCTTAATATCTGTAAAGTTACATTTAATAATAATATATTCTGAATACATTTAAAATGCATAAAATAAATTAACCTCCTTAGGTGTAATTATGTTTTCTATTATTGCTTTCATACTGGTTGAGGCGCTTATCAGCATTTCTTTTTCACCTTCGATTGATTTTCTCACAGATTCCAGTTCACAAGTTGAGTAAGGTTTCTTTAAAACAAATAATTAAATAAGCACGTAAATAAAATAATTTATTATAATTAAACTATGACAGCAATACAGTACCCAATTATCATCTCTGAGTGAGCTCCATGCTTGCAGGATTTGATCATTCTTCTCATTGAAAAACTTGCTGAACTCTTCGAGACAGTTCACTATGTTAACATGGCAGTTATCCGTCTTCAAAACAAATACACTTTTATGTTCAACGTTCAATATAGAAAATTAATTAGAAATAACATTTACCAGAGAGTAGGTACTTTTTTGGATTGTTTGCTTTCGAAACACTTCTGCATCTGAAGTACTCAACAAATTACACATTTGTTTCTGTGAATAAAAAATGACTGTTAAAAACAACATAGACACTAAAACATCAATATCATTTATTTATTTTTTAATGTTAAAAAAATAAAAATACAAATAAAAAACCAAGAAACACACATTTGTTGGATAATATTTTATTTAGGTTAATATTGAAGTACAATACATTTATATTAAAACAAAAATAGACTGTCATGCACATCTGAAAAATAGGTTTTGCTTTACAAAATGTAATTCATGAATTGAGTAATTTGCCATGAGGCATCACCTGGAGGGACGTATCGGGGAGAGAGTGGCTTCGGTGATTAATAATTATTATGGAATCACTTGGATCCTTGTCAAGCGATAAAGAAGCATGTCGGCGCGTCTCACGATTCCATTCTACATCTTCAGTCAGCTCTAAAAGCAAAGCTTCAAGTCCGCACTAAAACCAAACTTTCATAAATCTTTCCATTTTTATTTAACAAATTATTTTATTATTTACTCATTTTATTTTGTTTTGTATTAAATTAATTTCATCCCCCCGTATTTCATTTAGAAAACAAATCCTTGTATGTAAGACTAAAAGTTAAGTATAAACCGTTTACAATAACATTGTCTTTTGATAATATATTTTAAAAATGTGTATATTTAACCTTTACACTTAGAGGCTCATCAGAGCGGAGTTTATCCAGATAACGCCTTATGTAATCTAATTTGTCACACATTTCTAAAATTTTTTGATTTCTGCTGAAAAGCTCCTCAGTCTGGATACGGAGCCTTGATTCAAGGGCAGCTAGGCTGCTACGGTCAAGACGTGTCTCCAGCCTCAGTATCTCAGAATTCCTTTCCTCCAGTTCAGCATGTAAATGGTCAATCCGAGCTTTCATTTGTGCCCTTGGGCCCTCCTTAAGGCCTAGCATTTCGGCAAGTGACTCCTATTAAAATAAGACAGTATTGACCGATGGTTTTGACGTGGCAAAGAGTAAATATGAAATGGTCAATGCTATCGTAATTTCATACTAGTTTGTAGTTTTAATTTATATAAAAAAAATACAAATAAAAACAAGAAGTTAGAAAGAATATAATTATTTATTTACGATAGCATCAACTGTTTTTATTATTCCCTCCAGCTAAAATTACTGCCTTTTACTGGACTCAGGGAAGTTTCAGGAGATGACACTGCCTTTTTGTTCCTCTTGTGTTTTACCGTTGCCTTAGGCAAAACCGGTTGAGACATTTTGACAACGACTTCATACGAGCATGGAGTCGGAGACGAAATTCCATTGAGCTTGGGTTAGAAAGAATGCTTGTAACGGTCATGTCTAATTAAGATCTTGAGCACAATTACCTTTGCCCTGCCTAGCTTGACTTCTTTTCTTAGTTGTTGTATGATGTCATCTTTATAATGGGTTTGCATGTCCGACTGCCTCAACTGTTCCTCGAGTTCTTTCACTTGGTCTTTGAGCTTGACTATGATGTCGTGCTTCTCCGCCACTTCCGCCGTAAGAGCAAGTTGAAGGTCTTTATCGTCCTAAAATTACATATACCATTAAAACATCGATGCTAATTATAATGAAAAACAGTTTGATTAAAAATATACGTTTTACATCAAAATTTAAATATTTTAGTGTTGTAGCTTGTAAAAATAGTCATGTGCCAATCAGTATTGTTTTAATTATATTTATAATATTATTTAAATTAAAGGAAATTTTTTTAAATTTTTGTGTTAAAAATATGGGTAAGTTTTGCCTCTGCCACCACCTTAGGCAGGCATCTGTACGGGTTAGTGGTTATACAATTATAAACTGTAAATGGTTTAGAGTAGCCCGTTTATTTTATAAAGTCACCTTGTTTAATATATGCATAATTTAATTGTTTTTTATTAGATAATGTGTGGTGATTAGTGACCGTTTGTCGATGATTATTCAGAAATTGTGAGATGCGGTCTTGTGTGATGTAGGTTTCAGAAAAACATTTTCTTTATCGTATCAACGTTTCGATCTTCATTGAGATCATCTTCAGGGCCTCGGATTTACAAACATTGTTTAAATTTAAGAAAAACACGTAGGATGTGGAAAAAAATGAATTTATACAATGCAAATTTTTTTTTATTTATATTCAATCAAAGTATTTCTACTCACTCAAAGTGTTTGTTTTCTGTGTAATTGTGCTTTTGCTTGTCTAAGAACATCCAACGTGTATAAACGTAAAACAGCAATATCTCTCTGGCACTCTCAACACGACATGCAAGAATGGCACAATTACGCAGAAAACAAACACTGAGTGAGTAGAAATACTTTGATTGAATATTTAAAAAAATATTTATTTGCAGTGTATAAATTTACTTTTTTCACATTTTACATGTTTTTGTTAAATTTAAACAATGCTTATAAATCCCAGGCCCTGAAGATGATCTCAATAAAGATCGAAACGTTGGCACGATAAAGAAAATGTTTTTCTGAAACACATCACACCAGACCGCATCTCATGATTTCTGAATAATTATTAGATAATATTATTGTATTTAAATGTTCCATAATTGGAGTATTATTAGAAGATTATTGTCAATTTTGATCATTTGTCAGCAATCTGAGAAGTCTGAAGCTTTTTATTTAGTTCTTTGTTTTGAATCGCATGTGAGGGCTCAATGTAAGTTGGATAGTCCAAGGTAGCAAACTACAATAGCTGGTGGGAGAGGGATACTATTGTACTAGATGAAAGCAGTGGTTATTCTCTGAAAGATGAAAGTGACAAATTCACATTTTTGTATGTTTATTGTTATCTTTCACTGCTAGAATCACTGCTCGAGGGATTTAACGGGTTTGCAGATTTCTGGTTGAGATACCTTGTGGTACCCCTGTATCTGTGCAATAGCCATAGATCATGATATTCTCAAGTAAAAAAAACCGTGGGCTGTTTGGGATTCAAACCCAGAACAGCTGGTGTGGCAAATACAAGTCAGACACCATAGCCACTCAGCCACATCATCCTTTAGTATGTGCAATGTAATATTAATCAGCAAAGGTGGTAGCAGAGTACCAACTTACATATTTTTTAGCAATGTGAATAAAAATTACAGTGTTGTGTATAAATATTGATAATAAGTGATGGAGCATTAAAAAAAAAAGCCTACCTCAATTTTTTTCTTAAGCTCTTCCAGTGCGATGTTGCTATTTCCTCTTTCTTTACATTCCAAACATCCCTGAAGTAAACAGTCAATGAGAAAAGAGAATTTATAATATGTGGTCTTCTTTTAAGAGGATACTTACTTTGGTCTGGGTTTTTTGACATTTTGATATTACTCGCGTAGCAAAGATTTTTTCTTTCATAATCTTCCAGCCCTAATTACGCGACTAATGAATCACAATTCAAAATGCAAAATGTGCAATTTTTAGAAGAGTAACAACACAGAGTTTATTTTTTTCTCCCCAATATGAAAAAATACTATGTTGGTTTGTACAATAGGTTTATTGTTTTGTTTGGTGTTGATGTTACTTTTTAAAAGAATATAACCATTACAGGTGTTTTAAAAAAATGAATAGTTCCAGACTTTGACAGTTGGAGGACATTCATGGACAATCGGGAATAAGCCATCGGGCTCACACTGGTCATTCGTTATATCTTGAGAAATTGCTGGATGGGTTGTGCAGGAATTTCAATTGCTGCATATTTTTGTACATGTTGTACCTTGCATACTTCTCCTCAGCGCATCTTTTAGCCACGGCTACTGCGATTGGTAGACCGTAGCCACTCTAATTTGCAAAATTTTAATCCTAATTTTACTGTAATCAAAACTGTTTTACAATCAGGAGCAGTCTGAGAAATTTTATCTCTACATTTCAAAGTGCTCAGCCTGATCCTAATTGGGACTAAAGTTTTTAAAGAGTTTCCTCACCTCATGATTCTTGTTCCGAGTGCATTTCTTATAATATTCTAAATCTTTTTCATCCTTTATATTCTTTTTAAGTGCCTCATCCAACTCGGCATGCAGTTTTTGCAATTTCTCTCTAAAGAACTCAAACTGTTTTAACTTTTGCGCCATTTTTGAATATACCTATAATTTACCTGTTTCGTATCTAAAGCAAAACAATTAATTAACAGAATTGTGATAAATAATTTAAAAACTGCCAACCTCTCTTTCTTCATTTATTTCTTTTAATGCTCTCTTCTGTAATTCAGATTCCTCTAGGCATGTTTTCATTTGTTCGCATTGAGCCTTTAATTTGCACCTGACACAAAATTTTAAAATCACCAAACAAAATTGCTAAATCTTTGGTAGGATTCAATTTTAGTCTTTTAAAAATTACAATATTTAAGTTTTGAAATGCAAAAAGAGTTGGCCTATAACTTCTAACCAAAACTATTTTAATACTAAGGCAAATAAAAGAAACAACTTACAATTCTGAATTTTCTGATTCTTGACATTCTCTGAGCTGAAACATTTTCCCAGATATTATTAAGGCATGTTAAATTTTTTGGCAGTGAATAAGTACCTCAATATCTTTTTCTATGAGAAGGTTACTTAATTCTTCTACTTGCAGTTTTGTGTTTGTAAGTTCAGTTTCAATGAAGTCCAGTTTGCTTTCCAAGCCTTTTTTACTAAAAAAAGAGAACTATTTGCTATATTTATTCTTAAAGTATTCCGGTTTAACATACGTGCATAGAAGGTCTTCTATGGTATTATTACTCTCCAGCTGAAACATAATAAAAATTGAAATGAAATCTCAATAATGGCATTTTTTTAATTTCAATACCTTGTTACATAGTTGCTTTTCTAAATCGCAAATCTTCATTTTGAGGTACTTGGTTTCTGTCTCTTTGGCACATAGACCTTTCTGGGCCATTGTTAATTTTTGTTCTAAATGTTTTATACTTTGCATCGGGAAATTATAAAATATAATTATTATTAGAAAGTAAATATGATGGTGAAGCTATTAACTGAGTGAAAATGTTAATCACCTTTCACTGAAATAACTTGTGTCCTGATCCTAAAATAAATACACATAGGGAAAATTAATGTTAACACAATTAGACTAAATTTCTAATATTAACTGAGATAATCATAAATATGTAAAATTTATGATTAATTAATTTATAATGTAAACTATACGTAACAAAAATTAAATCAAACCGTCTCAAATGTTTGGTTCAGTTGTACACGATCATCTAGAATACACTGTTATGTTAATTAAAGCGTGATACCTCTGCCTTTTGGGATTGTGCAAGGCTGTCCAGCAGGTTCACCCTACCCAGTGCCTCCTTTTCCAGTTCTTCAACTGCTTTTAACAGAAACTGATTCTGTTCGGTAAGATCACTGACCCATTCCTCAAGAGTCTTAACTGTTTCCTAGAACAAAAACAAAAGAGATCCATTTTAAGAAGATTGTTTAAAAAGTATAAAAACCAGTAAAATACTACAAGTGACCTTTCAACGTTTTTTATTACTTCAACATAATCAACACCTTTCAAACTCAGAAGAATACATTAGTTTTTTTATTTGGATTTGGATTTATATAAGCACAAATTAAACATGTTCTGCTGTTTCTTCTTCTTCTTCTATGCACTCTTTTTTGCACAGGTTTGTTTCTGCCACTCTGAACTGTACATATGCCTCTGGAGTCTGCAGTATCCAGTCAGCAGTCCAACTATTATTCATTAGTAGTTCTGCCATTAATTTTATGATGGTCTTTTGATAAATTATTTTGCATTCCTCTGCCCTGAGCTACAGTCATAGCTACAGTCCTATTGAACGGAGGACTTATTTTTAGACCTTTTGGCAGTTTGGTATGCCACAAAAGGATTCAGGGCCAATAGGTGTCCTCGTCGAGCTTTCCTTGACCAAGCTATTTTGATTAGAATTTTTTTGTCAATTGTGAATTTAGGCATCATGGCATCAACAGACATTCCCAGAGTTCAGTTTAGCTAAAGCTCCCCTCGAAGCTTTAGTTGCTCCTTGTTATGTGAGTAGGCTATTGGAGCCTGTGCCTGCCTTATCCTATGAATGTGTCCCTGGCCTCTCTCTGGATAAAGATATGTAGTGGCACAGGTCAGGGATTTGGTGATGACAATGTTAAATGCCCCTTCCCCATTCAAGAACAACACCAAGGCTATTCCTTATCATTTAATGCCTTAGATAGTAGCCTGTTTAAGTCATCCAGGGGCAGGTCACAGACTTCCCTGTCTGATATATATATTGTCTAGTACTGAGTGGGTTGGTTTTCAGTGCTGTACTGCTAATATAGATATCCATCAGTTTCTCTTCTGATCAGTGTCTTCTGCATAAACGATGAGAGACTGATAATTGACTTTTGGCAAATGGCCACCTTCACCTTCCTCCATGCAGTGGGTATATATATCCCCAATATCCAATATTTTTTTAATTTGAATTTGTATTTATATAGGTACAAATCAGCACATTTATGTACATGCATAAAAGCATGTGCCGAGTTGAGCCTATTCGCTTCTCATAGTCCACCAGCAATTCCAGCTTTTGCTATTTAGAATAAATTGCTGGAGACTCGTGAATCACCCACCCCGGGTTCAGCAGTCCTGGAGCAGGCCTAAGTCTTATTGACCCAGCCACCACAGTTGGGCTCCAGGGAGAGGGGTGCTATCAACCCTAAGTCAATTTAGCACCCAACACATGCAGTTCCAAACACATTCATTCTTAAATAAGTTTACTCCTATTTACATACATTCATTCGGGTGGTGGTGTATTCGATATTTCTCCAATCACCTTTTACACATATGATGCAACTAACCTAATTGAGGGCCGATGTGGTACTCGATATTCCACCATCGACTCACATAACACTCACGCTAATAAGTACATTCATACTGTAAATACTTTCAACACAAGCTGGGTATACACAACTATTACTATGTACAATAGAACAACCCCATTTCTTCCAAATATTTGCTGCTGTGCTCAAGCAAAATTCTCATAATGGGTGGCATTCCTGTGTGCTCTCTGTATGGAGCCAAGGAATTCCACCCTTCAATTAGGTGGAACACCATGAGCAATCTTTCCCTGCATTTTGTTTTTAATAAGTCCTAATTGAATTTGTGAGGGATGCAAAAACATGTATTAAGAGCCAATATTTGTTGGTAACAAAATACACACACCCTCTAGAAAGTTAATAAAATTATTTACCTATGTAAAACTTATACCTTAAAAATATGTACACATTTTCATTTTATATTGGAAACAATTGGCCAATGTTGTATGAAGGAGCCCAGAAGTAATTTAGCCCTAAAATAGTTCCATGAATTTGAATGAAAATGAAAAAAAATTGAAATGAATTCCATTGAATGCTGTAATTCAATGTTTAATTTAAATAATTCCACATTTGGAAAATATTAATTTCACTTCACAATTTTAATTCGGATTTTCACTTCCAAAAAAAACCAATTTCTTCAATTCGTTGATTATCATATAGTGCAGCCATTTCAAAAGATAGTTCTTGCACCTGATGAAAGGCAATGCATCATAAACAAGATTGCAAAATGTTGATTTTAAATAAAGAAAACAACACAAAATTGTATTTTAAATTGAAATTTATCCTTTTTACAGATGTGAACATAGTCTTTTGAAATAGATGCAACCCACATTGGTGGAGTGAAGTTCTTTTGGCAACCTTTTTCTTACATGATTTGAAAGATAACCAGGTGGCTTCTCAAATTAGATTATAATACCTTATATATACAATATTAGTAAGTAGCACGCTGAGGGTTTATACGACCTCTGCTGTTGCGAACCCTCGTTTAAATAAATAAAAAAACTTAACTTATTTGGCAAGAAATTTTAATATCACTTTTAGATCCACACAGACTTATATTGCACTATACAACATAAGTGTATTAATATTATTAAATTACTTTTGGTTTTAAAACTCTAGCCACTCAAATTTCCACAGATTTTTAAATTTTAATATGGAATACTTAAAATTCATCAAACATTGTAACAATTTTCCTTGAGTTGAAAATAATTTAACTTAAAAAAAAATGAAATTGTAATTATTTATTTGGATCCTTTTATCAGTTAGAGTAGTTTGTTCGATTGTGAATCACTCATTCTGAACACTAGTCTACGTGAGTATTGCCATATTGGGCTGATGAGGGAGAGGCGAGCAATCTTTTTGTGTAGAGAGATAATGGTCAATTATTTCCAAATATAGACTTCAAATTGGTAGATTCTCTGTTTGATATTCATGAACTCCACATGGCATGCTTTTATCAAGTTGCAGACCATGATACCGAACAGAACCGATTTTTGGCATATTTGTCACAGTACTACTAAGGTTATTAGTGTAACTCTGTATGTAATGAGTAAATGGGAAATCGCTGATTTCAGAGGTTTCATCTTAATCCTCCATAGATGATTCTTGTCCAGCCCTCTCTGTAGTTTGGGCCTTTTCGTGTTAATTCTTCTTTCTGAAGAATGAATATATTGTCCATGAACTGGGCTATTTTGGGCTGGTCAGAAAAGATAGATCATAAATTTTTACATCAAAATCGTGGTATAGAAACAGATCAAGCACACTTCCCTGATGAATACAGCAACTATGGATTTATACGCAGAAATAGTTTGTTAGAAATTTTTTTTGCTGGGAACATTACCCTTTAATTCAACTGAATTAGTCAATATGTATGAGGCAAATAAAGCTCCAACCCCTGAAGAACCTTGTCTGAGTCCTTTTCCATGCCCAGAAAAATACTGAAACTTTTTTTTTGCTCAAATTTCTCCAAAATTGTTCCAATACTCTATGTTATGTTTTATATGGAATGTTATGACATGTTTTCAAATTTAACGCACAACAATTTATTAAATCACCACTGAATAATTTGATCACAAATGCATTTGTGCATATTTATTTTGTTTCAATATCAACTTTATTATGAATTCAATGATTTTGCACTTTTGCTAATTGAGCCATATACCTAGCAGGGCAAGCTTAATTCACGTGTCACATGCTCACTCAACTATCTAGCTTCACTTTATCACAAATTTTTATGTGCACGAACAATTAAAAAATAAAATAATATAATAGACAAAACATTTAGTTAGAGCATACAGATTATGTGAAAATTGTAATCTTTTATCGATATAAATAAATTAATTTAATATTTAATATTAATTTAATATCAATGTGTAAATAAGTGTTTCAAAATAGCGTGGAACAAGTTCTTTGTTAGGAAGCATCATCGGTGCAGTTTTGGATAATCTAAAGTCTTAAAATGACATACACGACAGTTGATTCCAACAAGACATTCCAAATGGATTAAACACATATCACGGATCAGTGGAAGCATTCAATTCTGAGTAACATTAATTTAATTTATGTGTCATGGCTGTGCTGCCTGTATGGAAGTGTGTTGTTGGGAAAGGTAGAGTGGCTTTTTCATAGACTGCAGAACAGTTTACCTGATGAATTTTTCTCTGAGGTAACTTAAGTGAGGCGACCAAGTCTTGCTAATATCTAAAAGTTGTGATTGTACCGGTTTTCTGCTGGTCAGTGTAATTCTGCCTGCATTGTAAAAAAAGGAACTGCCAAATATTTAAGAGGGTTATCTCTTTCTTGTAGTTTGGTGTGCACTCCTCTGAAGGTGAGGCCTACTTGAATCAAGGTCATCAGTGAATTTGGCGATAGTAAATTTATGTAACTGAAGCAAATCTTGTATGCACAAAAGTTAAAGACGTGGGCTCAAAACACTGCACTGAGGGACATATAAGTTTGAAAGCGTAGAAAGGGAGGCTAACATCACCTTTTTTGATGGAACATTTGTTTGGTCATACTTTCGAAAAAATATTAGACGCCTATAAGAGCATTCTTGCCAATGGGCCCGAGGAGTCAAGTTAAAAAAAAATTATCCTTCTTTGCTTTGTCACTCAGTAACAAAATTTAATAAATATTCGGTCATAAATAAAATATTTTTTTTTTTTACGAACAATCAAAGTTGATGGTTGTTTTTCACACCACAAAAAATCGCAAAATACAAATTTTTGGGAAAATAAAAAATATTTTTTTACTCAAATTTTTTCGTCTTCCTATAGATAGAATATAATAGATTCCTCTGATTTTTTGTCAAAGATTACAAAAAATGACAATTTTGAAACGACGCAACCGATCCAAAAGAAATTATCCAGGGATTTAGGTCCATAGGAACTATAAGTAATTAGTCCTCAGTTAATAAATTATTATTGAAGACATAAAACATGTTTGAGTTGTTTTTTTAATTTTATTTTTATTTTTCTCATATGTAATAACACAAAACCTAAACCTTCTTGAAAAATGCTCAAAGAAGAAAAACTCAACTTTGACGTCGATTTGGATAAAATTTAGATGC